AATTTGCCAATGGATTGTAGATGCTTGGGCTAACATGTCTGCTGGCACTGTTGTTCGAGCTTTCGCAAAAGCCGGCATCGTTTCCGAGGAGCCGCACGGCACGGAAAGTGACTCTGACAGTGAAGAAAGTGAACCTGGCATGTTTGATGGAGATTTAGCGCAGCTGTTCAATTCAGACACAGGGGATGAGGACTTCCATGGGTTTGATTGATGATAAAAATGTGAGTACCAAACTTCGTTTTGCTCCTGCTTTATTTTTAAATACGCACACTTGTATGCTTGTGTGTTGTTGATGATGACGATTACCGGCAATAGAAATGTGAGTAAGGTACCGAATTCAGGTTTGCTCCCGCTTTATTTTTAAATATGCATACGGTACTTGTATGCGCCCTATGGTCCAGTGCGCCTTATGTGTGTGTTAAATACAGTAAGGGCACACATAACTGAGACTGCGCCTTTTAGCACAGTGCGCCTTATGGTCGTGAAAATACGGTATTTGATTAAGATTAAGTGACTGTGGATGTTTGAGTGAACGTCACGGTCAAGAAACCAGTTTGATGATCTGAGTTTGTAACGTGGTGATTTATTCTGCAGCCACTCAGGCTGTGGAGTTTGAACGATGCTCGGCTGGTACTGAGGAGAGAAAAGTCCACCAAGGAAATAACCCCCACACCATCACACCAGCAGCCTGAACTGGTGACACAGGCACGATGGATCCATGCTTTCATGATGTTTAGCCACATTCTGACCAGGTTTGTCTTTCCGGTCTTCTGCTGCCCAGTTTTGGTGAGTCTGTGTGAGCCGTCGTCTCATTTTCCTGTTCGTAGCTGACAGGAGTGACACTCATTGTGGTCTTCTGCTGCTGTAGCCCAGCTCGAAGCGCTCTGTCCATTCTCCTCTGACCTCTGGTATCAACAAGTCATTTTCTCGCGGAGAACTCCTGCTCATAGGACATTTTCGAATTGGACCGTTTTCTGTAAACTCAGATGGTTGGTGGAAGAATCCCAGCAGATTAGCAGTTTCTGCACCGTGCCATGTTCAAAGTCACTAAAATCACATTTCTTTCCCATTCTGGTGCTCAGTCTGAACTTCAGCAGGTCTTCCTGGGCGTGGTTATATGCTCTACATCTTTAACCATAACTATTGTTGCAGTTCATTACTGCCTTTTGTAAACTGTATTTATTCTTTTTAACTGTATTGCTTATTGCACTCTAGAGGCTGGTGAGAAACAGTATTTCGTTTCAGGCTGGGCAACTCCATACAAAATGACAAACTTGTTGAGTCTACATGTGACTGGCTGATTAAATATTTACTGAAACAATAAAATATCCTTGAAATTCAAAAAGTAAGCCTTAAGTTTATTATTTAACTCTGTGCTTAAAGATGTTACTCTGAGCAGCTCTTTGTGGTTTCATTGGGATATTGTCTGAGTTAATGAGTGAAATGTACTTTATATTAATGTTAAATGTATTCTGAGTTTGTTATAACAGATTAAGGTCATTTTTAGAGTGAGAAGCGTGCACATGTACGTGAACCAATACAAGAGTTGGGATCCCTTCAGTGTGTTTTAGTGTCTGCAGACCTCCTGATTTGGGGTTTTGCATATATAAACTAAACATCAGGCTTAAAATGAATGATTTAAAAATAACAAAGTTAATCCAACTGTTGCGTTTCTTATCCAGCCAACAAACAATAAGACGTCTGATCCACTTCAGGCCAGCAGCCGACGCTCGGATGCAGGCCAGCCAACAATAGGCAGAGGAAGGGTTAACGCTGAGGTAATGATCTCATTGTGGTGTTAGTTTAATATTCCTGAAGGAATATCAGACAGTGGAGAATAAAACAGCTGGTAGAACAGGATCAGTATGCCTGACTCTGTGAAATAAAAAGACAACCATTGTTTTTCCAACTCAGCGGTCAAGCATCCATGCAGAGCAGCTTTGCTCATTTTTAGGTGCGGAATAAGAAAAAAAAGCTAAAATAATAACTAATGTAGACGATGCACAGATATAATTACATTTTTAAGTTTTATTTAAAAAGCACCACGCACCGCCAAGGTGCTCGTTACTGTAAGGTAAATATCCTTAATGATACAAAGAGAACCCAAACAGTCAGATGATCCCTGTGGAGCAAGCACTTGGCGACAGTGGGAAGAAAAAAAACCCTTTTAACAGGAAGAAACCTCACAATCCAACTGACAAACGAAAGAGCATCCATACAGACTGATCGGTGCTAAATATTTCCCCTAAATCTGAGGGACTCGGAAAAAACTGGAACCAAAACCGGAAAATTAGCCAAAATGCATTTTTTGAAGTTTTGTCCAGTTACAGAAAAGAAAACAGACTTCAGATTGTGACTCTGTGATGTCTGTTTGAAGCCTGATGGTGTTGGTTTGGATCAAACTCGTCCACGGCTGCTAAAAGCACAGCCACAGGCATCATTAAACAACTGTTTTAATTTCACAGGGACTTAGTAACTTTCTCTTGTTGCCATATACAGCACTTTAACTCTCTCTCAGCATCTGTTGCATTCAGCCTGTCTTGGCATTATGGAGATGAGCTGGTAAAGTGTGTCTTTGCTCTGGGAAGTAGGTTAAACCAGCTCCTTCCAGCCTCCACCCAGCTCTCTAATGCACAGAGATGGCAGTTGGAGGGAGACAGAAGGAGGAGGAGGACGAAGAAAGTGGGGTGAGGGAGGGTGAAAGGGAGGTGACATAAGAGGAAGAGGGGAGAAAGGAAGCAGAAGGTTAATGAGGCCTGAGAGGGGGAGCGAGGGGAGGAGAAATCAATTTGTGCAGCAGAAGGCGAACATGGAGAGAGGACGGGGGGGGGTGACGCAGCACCGCCGAGCTGCTGTAGCAGAGTTTAGATACTTAAACTTCCTGCTCACGGTTTCATCTTCTGGAAGTAGCTGGAAAGTAAAAGTTTGGGCACCAAACCTGATCAGGCAGTAGTAGTGGATTATCGATTAGTTTGGTCTGGTGGTGCAACAGAGGAGAAACTGCAAATGGTACAAAATGGAGCAGCACGAATGCTTCTTTGTTGTGCGATGTTGTTAACTGTAAACTTCATGCTTCACTTGGATTTATCTGAAATATATCCGCTCAGATTCTTTCTGTATTTTGTTTAGAAAATGTGTTTCAGTATATTTATAATTGAGCCATTTGTTAACTTTGTAATATACTGTATTATTTAATTGGTTCAGTCTGTTACTGTCTTAGAGCAGGGGTCTCAAACTCGTGGCCCACGTCACGCCTAGAAAAGAATCATCTTTATTATCCCACGGATAAGAAATCTCGGTTACAGAGCTCTTACAGCACGGGAAAATAAAATATAAAAGGAAGACACAAGGTGGTCCTATAAACATAAGCAACCAAAGTTTGTATATACAGGTAACAATGTACAGAATATGTATAGAAAAATTGAGAAAATTGTACAGAGATTTGTATGAAATGTACCGTAAACAAACAAGCTGGTGAGTAAGACGACCAAAGCATGTTAAGCTGCGTCACAGAGTCTGACAGCTGCTGTAATGACCTCCTTCCTACTGCTGAACGAGCTGCTCGGTGTTCAGTCTCATGCAGGGGTGGGAGGTGATGTCCGTGATGGATGTTCGCTTAGACAACATCCTCCCCAGCCTGCTCGATGGACCTCAGCGGACAGTCCAGGACAGAGCTGGCCCTCCTGACCAGTTTGAGTTCCCCCCGTCCCTCTCTGCCACTCCACCATGACAGCAGACCACAGCATAGAAAATCGCAGATGTAAATGTTATCAGCGTTTACCCGACACTGATAACATGATAACACACGCCAACGACAGGAGGCATCGTTGTGCATGTTTGACTGCTGCAGGTAACAAGGATCAGAAACTAAACGAGCACAGCACCCTGACCTCACCTGGAGCAGAGCACCTCTATAGAAGAACCGGTCAACTACCCATAAACTACACAGTACGGACACCTCAGCGTTTTAATTAATGAAGGAAGACAAAATGAACAAAGACTATGTTAGTTGGACGTGTTTCACTGTTAACAGTCGACTTAAGAAGCGAACGAGATGCTTTGGGATGATTTTAGTTAAACTCGCCACGCACCGCCCTTCACAGAGGGGGCGCTGTCTCGTTTTAAAATTTACATTGTGAGATTATAATATTATCTTATGCCACGTTATGCCCCCGATTAATGATTGTGAAATTATTATGTAGGTTTAGTTTGCATTATTCTCCTGAATTAGAGAAGGTGAAACTATTACTGATCGGTATTACATCAGACTGCTGATTTATTGTGAATGAATGATATTGTTTATGATGCATTATACTGCTGAGTTATAAGAAATGCTGTTTTCAGAGTCAGGACTTTGCTTTTTCTGATAGCGGAGGAGTCAGAGCACATTCCACGGGAGCTTCACTCCTGCTGTTGTTAAAGGCAGACGAAATAGGGAGCCAAGGCCATAAGTCAGGCTCGCTAGGAGTTAGTGAATGATTAGGCTTTTACGACTAGGTGGGGGTCAACGGTGGCTATAAGAGTTTGAGTAATGCTCCACCATTTGGAGATCGATGCAGTCGGTGGGCAGTGTTCATCTCCCCACGAGTGTGTTCATTAAAACCATTGTTTGACCGAAGCTCTTCTGGGCCAGTGTTGTGTTTGTGCTCACCCTCAATATCTGAACCCGTAACAACATCCATCCAGAAATCAGCACTAAAGATCGTTTAACACATGAATAAAGTTATCCAACACAAGCTGAACACTTCTTTAACTGAATCTAAAACTTTAACACTTTTTATTATTAAAATGTAAAAGAAATTTAGGATTTTTTGAGCCACAGATTCAAACTGATGTGAAACATGAGATTATTCAAGAGCAAAGGTTTGTTGGTCAAAAACACCTTTAAATGTATGTTAGTGTCCTTTAAGTCAACATTTCTGTCATGTCAGGCTGACATAACACCACACAGACGAGCACCTCAGCAGTAACCACACACACACACACACACACACACACACCTTGATATGATGTCCCTCCACGTAACGCGTTGCGTCTCTGAAGAGACGGTACATGACGAAACCCTGAGGGTCGATGCTGTCGATCAGAGGATACGCCGTCTGCACACGAAAGGAAGCACAAAGCATGGATGCAAAGAGCTGATTTAATGTGTCGTCACGCCTCAGATTAGTAAATAAGACAGAAACACGCTCCTCTCCCCCCACGTGAGTTCAAAGTGGTACGATCCCATTAAAGAGGGCCAGCCCGTGTGGGAACAGCAGGAGAGGGAACTGTAAGCCGTCTCTATGAGCAGCTGCTGAAACGCTCACCATGCCGGTCTCTGCGGTGAAGACGACGATCTCGTAGAGCGGCGCCACCTGCTGGAACAGGTAATCGATGCCCGGACGTTTCTTAAAGCGCCAACCTGTTGCCAACTGCAGAGAGAAAGAGCAGCTGTTTAAACACATCTGGATTGAAGCGTAGGGTTTCCAGCTGCTGCTCATCATGAACAAAGTCCTGCAGCTTTTCCTGCACTTTGGTGGACGCGAGCAGTTTGCTTCCCTTTCTGAGTTTCTCTGTTTATCATAATAAAGTTCGATCACATGTTGTTAAGAATACAACACAACACAGTGTCTGCGAGACCAGAAAAGAGTCGTTAATGAAGGTTACATGAATCGTTTTGCAAAAGTATGAAGGCGTGAGGCACCGACAGCTGCAGGAAGGAGATCTGACAGCCACTGTCTGGGCACGCTCAGAGGTCGTGACCTCGTCACTCAGGCTGCTTTCAGTTAAACAGATAAAACAAGCTTTGTCCCATTATCACCTGTGTGTGTGTGTGTGTGTGTGTGTAACAGGAAGGAAGGCTGACACGGTCCAGCAGGTGAACGTGTTTGCCTGCTTTAACCGGCGGCAGGTGTTGGCTGCTGCGCACCTGTCAGGTAAGAGGCGTGTTTTACACGAGTGAAAAGGAGCAGACACTGAACGAGCGGACAGGTGGTGGACACGCCTCCAGCACATCCTCCACCTGTCTCTCCTGAACTGTAACCTGTTTGTTAAAGGATCATTTCAGGATTATTCAGTCTTGAGGAGTTCACTGTAGCTCTTTGTGTGTTTCAAGTTTAAGGGAACGAGGACAGGAAACAAGGACAATAAGAGGCCAAACACAAGCTCGCAGCAGCTTTCTAAAAAACAGCAGGTGAGGAGCCCTGGAAGCAGGAAGCTACGTACCACAGCTCTAACTCGGGTTTCTTTGTTGGCGACTAATGGAGTTCATCTCCTGAGACACTGTTTGGCCAAACAATTAATGTCCATTCTCTTCCGTTTATGTAATTCAAGGTCACAGGGGAGGAGCCTATCCCAGCTGTCTCAGGGTGGGAGGCGGGGCACACCTTGGCCAGGTCGCAGGTCTGTCACAGGGATAACACAGCATCCATCCCGTTTTGGCTGCAGCAGGTCTCCTTTCTAGAAATCTGGCTAAATGTATTAGACCCTCCAAAACGTGACGATCCAGAGTTGCAGTCTTACACGCCTCTCTCAGCTTCTCACCTCCTGTTTTCCTCCAAAGGCCCATCAGAAAACATCATCTACAGCTACTCTCAGTACCATTGGTTTAGGTGGTCTTGACTCCAAGTCTACTTTATACAGATAAGGTGCTGGGATCAGGGGTATCTGTAACTGACAGATTATAATCTGTGGGGCTGGTTGTAAAGGATCAAATACACCACGCTGTTGCTTTGCTCCGAGTTCACACCTCTGCACAGCTGACAGAGCACTGACAGAGCATGCTTCTTCTGCCTGCTGATTCCTCACCTTCATAACGTTCTGAAGGAAGTTGGAAAAACTTGACTAATTTAACTTTAACAGTTTTCAGTTCCGTTCAGTTTCAGTGGGATTGCTGCAGTGTTACCCTCCAGCTTCTCATTGGACCGTTTATAATCGACAAAGGCTGTAAAGCTCTTGGAGAAGCAGACGTACCGACCACTCCGGGTGCAGCAGGACGTCTGTGAGCTCCAGCACCAGCGTGTAAGGAGGCTGGTAGTACGGCTCCTTCAGAGGGTCGGGGAGCAGCTTCGGGCTCGTGGGCTCGATGATCATCTGACATCATCAACGAGAGACAAACAAAGACGAGGTCACAGAGAGCCTCTAAAAGTCCGAAACAGGTAATGCAATAGTTCAACTGGCTGCACTAAAGCTGGGTCTACACTTTAATCAGATCTTAATTGTTTGACTCTCATGAAAGTTAGTTCTGGATGTTTCCATGCACCGACGCTGACTGGACTCACCTGTCTGTAGTCCTTAAAGTATTTGTAGGTTCTTCGTAACTGTTGGATAACCGGAGGGTCTGAAAGAAAAGGGAAAAGTGCTCAGTTACATAAGTGAATTGACTGTGAGACGGAGGCTGACGGTGCAGGAGATGATCAAAGAGGAGGCGGGACTCCTCTGTTAGCTGCTTAGAGCCCATTTAAAGCCGACAGATTACCGAAAGTGAACACAGCTGTAGTTCTAATGGCTTCTGAAAACTACAATTCCCTGAGGGGACGCAAACAGCTGATAAGATCTCAGCGAGTGCGCGTGGAGCTGGACTTCCAGCCAAGCCAAGCCGACGCTGAAGCCGCAGGTCTCCGACAGCTCGGCAAACATCACGTTCAAGTCATCTCCTCAAAAAGCAAACGACCATTGAATACGGAGGGGAAGATCTATTCTGTTGGCTGCGATTCCCTTCTACCAGTTTTGAACAAACCAGCAGTAATTTTGGGGGAAATGAGACATTTTAAGATCTTTTTATTTTCATCTTTTTCTCATTTTTATTTATCGAGGTTCCCACGGGAACCCTGGTAAATAACAGCAAAACACACAGCGTCCATGATCTTCTTCATACATTTCTGTGAGATGGCATTGAATGTGATTATTATGTATATACTTGTATTAATTTGGCAATTTTTAAATTCACTTTTAGCTTTAACAAATACTGGAGTAGCAGGAGGAGATCTGATTGGTCAGAATAAAACCCAAAGCTGAGCTGACTGGTTTTTATCAGCGTGGTGATCGGGGAGACGATGCCGAGTCTTCGTGCTAATGACTACTAAATAACAATGACTCCATTTCCCATGGGGTGGTGGGCTCATTACTGCACACCTCTATCCTTCATCTCCCTCTAAACACAAGCACTGAGAGACGCACGCTGTGTTCCCGAGGGACTCAGTCCCCCAGAGTTCATTGCAGGAAGCGAGGGAGCCATCTGCCTGATGTGATGACACGCTGAGGAGGTGGACACACACTGTGTGGAAATATGTACATGTATATATGGTTAATAATTAGAGAGGGGCGGAGCAAAGGAGAGAGTGCATGACTCCAAATTAGAAGGTCAAGCATCCATCCATCAAAACACGGACAGCAAAGATGGAGCTCAGATTCCTTATCGTGTTCCACTCAGCCTGTGAAGACGAGGTCTTCATTCCCACGGCACCGCTCTGCTTTGTGTCATTAACAAGAACAGCAGATCTTTTAAACGAGGACGGGAAGGCAAACAAAGCAAGCTTAGAGCAGGCAGTTTTCAAAATAAAAGACCCTGTGGAGACCTGGATCACTCCGCTCGAGCTCCAGCAGTGAGCCAGTCCTCATTAAAACTTTACAGCAGAAATAAAGGTGTTTACAGCCTAATTTCAGCATTCAGGTCCTGACAGCAGCAGAGAGGCTGACGTTTCCCTACAAGCCAATCACATTTATATTAGAGCTGACATCACGTGGCCCGACTGTGACCACCGTCTGAGCTCAAACACCGCAAAAACAAACCTTTACTGTCATTTAAGAACTTCAGTAATCCTGTCCTGTCTAGATCACTGTAGATTACTTTTCACTGTTTGGACCACACAGCTGGACCGTCTCTCATATTCTTGCTTCCTTAATTGGCTTCCAGTGAAATCTGGTATTTATTTGAACATTTATAAATAATGTGCAACACCCTACATGGCCCCTGCTTATATCTCAGATCTCCTCTGATCTTATTCCTGCCTCGCCGACCATCTAATCCACCACGTCCTTTTATATCCACATTTTGAGGTTGGATCACTTTGGAAAAGACTTCCTTCTTCCATCGGAGCTTCATTTTAAACATCACGCTAGCTCAGTTTGTTCTGGTTAGATCCCCTGTACTGTTGTCTGTGTATATGTTGGTAATTCTTCAATGTTTGCTTTTATCCAAATAATAAAATACTGTAACTGTATCCAGATGGCCCCGCCCCTCCCTGAGCCTGGTTCTGCAGGAGGTTTCTTCCTGTTAAAAGGGAGTTTTTCCTTCCCACTGTCGCCAAAGTGCTGCTCATAGGGGGTCATATGATTGTTGGGTTTTTCTCTGTATGTGTTATTGTAGGGTCGACCTTACAATATAAAGACCTTGAGTTGACTGTTGTTGTGATTTGGCGCTATATAAATAAAGTTCAGTTAAAGATGTCCAGAAGTAAACAAGGAGATGACCATGCAGGGGAGACTGACCACATTTAAATCTGGTTTCTGTTTCGATGTATACTCATATACGCATGACATTTACAGACATAAAAAAAAAAAAAAAAAAAAAAAGACAAAATGCCAACAAATATCCAGAAATATCCACAAAATCGAGAAAAAAGTCCAGACAAAATAACCAGAAAATGAGACCAAAACACCTGCATTAAGATCCTAAGAAGCCCAGAAATAACAGAACAAAAATCAAAACCATGAAATGGCCACAAAGAGACAGACAACAAACTCTAAGACACACAATGACCTGAAAGGAAAGATAAAACCTCCAGTGAGGTTTTTCCTGCTCTGCATGAGCATCTGCAGAAACACGAGTGTTCAGATTATTTGTGACAACAGCTAGATTACACACGGGGGAAAGTAGTGTGTGATGTCAGAGAAGGTATGTCCATCTTTTACATACAGGCTGTGGGGTGCTAGCAAACAGATGGTGTGAGAGTAATGAAATAAAAGAGGAGCGATAATATCCTCGAGGCTGAAGAAGAGGATGTTTACGCGTGCAGGCAGCGTGGGGTGTAAAGCGTGGCTGCTGAGTAACCTGTCCCCTGGGAGCCCCACCAAACACACCAGGAAAAGTGTGTGTGTGTGAGAGAGGGAAATCTAGGACGCCAGTGTGTGGGGATATCCTCCACAGAGGGGAGGGGGATTAATCTGGGCTTTTATCATGTTAATGGGGCAGAGGAGAGGTGATGGAGGTGGTGATGGGGGAGGAATCTGTCTTTCTGACAGTTTCTACGACTGAGAGGAAGAAGGTGGTGTTCGAGGCAACACCAGGATGTTAACCACATTTTACTGGATTACACTGGAATTTGTTTCAGTTGTCAAAATGCAGCCAAAGACACACCAAAGACTGGTTTCGCTTCCTAAACGAGAATATTTTCCCTTTCTTGACTTTTCTTTCGTTTATGAGGTGGAAACATGCAACACACTCCAAACACGGCCTATTCTACTGTTTCCAGCTCTGAAACAAGCTGTTTTAGCACCACCTTAGATGACCCTGTCTCTATGACCTCACAAAGATCCAAGAGAAGAGAAAACAATCTGAATCTGAGTGTTAAGAGCAGAGAAGCTCGGTAAGTTTTTACTGTTTCTGAAATAAAAAGGTGGGGGAGGAGGAGGTATGATGAAGGCGACAAAGAGAGGGATAGAGGAGTAAGGGGATGAAGAAAGAGTTAAAGAGGGAGGTGTGTGGAGAGATGGAGGTCTCTGGCCTTAAACAAAAGCCACAGTGAGGACGGGCATCTGCTGCACAACGCCACCTCCTCCTCTTCCTCAGATATCAATCGTTTGCTTTCTCTCCGGGTGACAAACGACGGCACGCTGTGGCCTCTTCAATGTGTTCATACGAGGCCCCCGGGCTGACTGCGAGGGGTTATTAATGCTCCGGCAGCAGGACGCAGTACGAACGTGTCAGGTTCAAACACCACGGAGGGCTCGGCGTGGACAGAAACACGGTTTTTAGGCTTTGAGCGCACAGATCCACCAACGTATGAACAGCAGACATCCAGGGGACATTTTTAGGGCTCAAAGAGCTGCCCACTCACAGTGTCACAATATGAAGCAATGTGAATATGAAGTGCATTCTGGGTAAATGTTGAAGGCTCATATCAGAGTGTGGGACAGGTGGCAGGACGTGAGATTTCCCCCTTTCCACCATCTCCAAGTCTAGTCTGTCGCTCTGAAGGTAAAACTTTGCATTGTGTGTGCGAGGCGTGTCACATGCTGGTTGCTATGGTATCCGACGCTCCTCAGCATCACAGACACAAATGCCGTCACTTGGCACGCGAACAGATTCTGCAGCCAAATGTGTCCCAGAAGTCCCATTCGCACATCCATCGCCTCACTCACCTTCTGCCGCTCCCTGAGGAGGAGGAGGAGGAGGAAGGTAGAATATAAAAGAGGAGTGAGGAGGATGAAAGATGTGGAGGCGCGTCTCCCTGAGGGGTGGTGAACTTTTAGGTTGCTCCCTAAGCTAATCAAGGATCATTTGCCCCTGGTTCCTAAGGTCCCGCAGGTCATGATGTGCATGAATCCACCACTCATCACCATTCTGACATTTCTTCTTCTCCTCGCTGTGAATACATTTACAGCCCCTCAGACCGCATGTGAGAACTAATGATGAAGGTCGGCTCTTCTTCAGCATCTTCAGTGTTCGTCATAACTGATGGTCTGCTGTCAGAGAGCGCCAGCAGCGATTTCTACTCCTGAAGCAAACCGGCTGCAAACACCAACGAGCAGTTTTCTCCTTATAGTCAGTATTAATTAAAACAGCAATAAAGTCCTTCTGCGTGCACAGCTAAACGTGACGCAGATCAGTTTTTGTCCGCTTCCATCTGCCGCGGGTTCGTTTCACGCGGCGACGGCGGCGCTGAAACTGAAGCCGACTGAGCTTTGACTTCTGTTTCACTTTGTTCTTGCTTTGGTGCATGGATGTGGATTTAGATGCATCTGTGCGGCTAATGCTGTCGTTCACTCTTGTAAAAGGTTTGAATTTTCCTGTTTGAATAAAACGGACAACTTCCAATTTAAAAGTTTAGTTATTTTTTTCCACTATAGATAAAATATCGAATATAAATCTGACAATGATTTGTGCTTTAATCGTGCAGATTAACAGCTTTATGTAGAGACGTTAAACTCTTTTCTCATGTCTGACACACTATTCCGAGGACACGGAGGGAAAATGATTATTACCTCTACAAAACTTTCTATTCTGCACAGAAACTTGAATTAAAAGCAAAGTTTTGTGTATAAAAACAGTTTAAGAGTCAAACTGTTGGTTTAAGAGGATAAAACTGTGACGTGGGGAGCTGTCCACACTGTAAATGAGTGTGTGGTGGACAGCTGTGAGCGTCACATCAGCCCGGATCTAATCCACTCATCAATACTCAGTGTCCCTGAGCTTCAGTCCAACCTCGTCCTTCTGTTCATCAATCAATCGATCAATCCACACATCCTCCCTCTCTCCCGTCTGTCCCGACCGGTTCCAGCCTCGGCATCGCGAGCTGCCGACCGCAGATGGAGACGGACAGGCAGAGAGGGGGCGAAGGCGTCACCCACAGAGGGAGGAGAGACGGAGGTTTGCAGCCAGATGAGGACAAAGTGGACCTCAGGGAGCGATTTAGGCTGGAAAGGGAGGACTGGAGGAGAGGAGGAGGAGAAGAGGAGGCAGATTGGACCCCCGGGAGGAAGAGATATTGACCATCTGATTATTAGGTTTAATAAGCAATCAGAATAGCTTTTTAAGAAAGAGAGCAGATCAATGTGAGGAGCAGAAAGGCCAGAAGAATGAAGATTTACTCTGTTTACATCATGTTCTTCCTCCTGCATGTAGAAATGATGCAGCTCTGGGATTCACTCTCCATTCACTTATTGAATTTACATGAGCCACACATGGAAGCCGTTCAATCTTTTATAGATATTAATCGTAAGATGAACTTTGTCATCTTTGTTTCTAAAGCTTGGAAAACACGTCAGGAGAGATTATTTCTTTATTACTTCATCTGTAAATTAAGCTGCTGCTTCAGTTTTATAAACATCTTGTGAACCTGTTTGGGCGGAGCATGTAGTTTTCTGCACGACTCAGCAATAAAATCAAACCAATAATGACTGACGTGCATGAAGAGGTGTGCAGACGAGCATCTCGGATTGAGCAGATGAGCTACATCAGCAGAGGACCACACCCCGCCCCCGTCAGTTATTTAAACCCTGCAGCCCGTTACTGTGACCACGCACGGCCACTTCTAAAAGCTAAAGGTGGTCCAGCCTGCTACTGGTCATCTGTACGTATGCAAACCTACTGCTGCACAGAACTGCACCTCAGCTAATGAACGCAGCTTTCCACACCTTCAGCATGCCAATGGTCTCCACATGTATTTTTAGCACTACTCCCATTATTCTGTCATCTTGTTAAGAGGCAGCGGGTTAACGGAGGCGATGAGCTGTAGTCTGTCTCGCTGGATGGAAACGTGTGCATTTGTGCTGACAGGCAGCTCAGGGGTGGGCGGGGTGAATGATGGGGCATATGGATGACTGGAGCAAACACACAGAGTGAGAACAGTTGGCACCGAGTGATCAATCATTCACACAAGCAGAGAGCGCCTCAGCTGTGAGCAGTAAACACAGTTTAAGATCAGTTTAAATGTGAGCTCGAGCTGAGAAAAAAATAAAAGGTTTACACTCACCTTTGTCGAACTCGTCTGGAATCTGTGAGGAGGAGCAGAAAGGAGGTGGTTACAAATCTGCTCTCATCAATCACGTCTGCTCATCAGAGCTGTGAGGGCAGCGTAAACATGCAGCTCCACATCGGTCTGCTTACTTACACGTGTGCTGATACACTGCAGAAAATAATTTTTATTTTCTGTTCATGACACAGACCTCAGGTCAGACAGGTACTGATCAGCTGATTATTAGCTAACAGGATTCAAATGAGATTTACTTATAAACAAAACAGCAAAAAGCTCAAGTCTGAATAAAATACAATAAAATGCATTTATTTATCGGGACAAAATAAAACAGAGGTAAAAATAAATAAAAAAACTATCAAGTATCACAGGTATAATGTATAATTACATTATATGACTTCTATGATTCATCTACAGCTTCATGACTTTTTCTGGGCGTAAAAACTACACAAAGATTTGTTTTTAAAAGTTCAATTTGAAATTGAATTGAACTTTTAAGAAGGAAAATCTTTTTAGAGACAGAAGATAAGATGATGAAGAGAGATCTGAAGTCGGATCTGTGATGAAGCCCTCCCCCTGGTGGACATGCAGAGTCACTGCAGTTACTACGCTGGACCACAGGTACGCGTCACTGACTCTGTTGGACTTTGCTCACTTTAAGACTTTAAGATTCCTACCAGCTGATGCTAGAAATGCACTTTATTATTTTAATTCGACTCTTTAATGATTTTAATGTAATTCTGATGGGCAGACCTGTGGGAAAAGGGTGGATGTGCATGAACCTCCTCTGGTGAAGCTCTTTTCTTTTTACAGAGTGGAGAAAATGGCTAATTAGAGGCGTGCAGATGCTCTCGTGCGGGGGTGAAGTGATGTCAGTGCAGAGGCGAGGAAGAGGCCATTAAACCCTCATCGACACCTCAGTGCGACTGCAGAGCAGCCTGGGAGAGCGGGACGGGTTCCCACACTCCCCAAACTCGACGTGTCGAGGACAGAAAGTACAAAAACATCCCAGAATCTGAGCTGGCAAACGGAGACCACCAACCAGACGGGATTCATCATTTAAACGTGTCGCGCTGGCAACAGAGAGCCCTCAAACACACACAACTCCACACAGACATCCAATAAAAGCAAAGCATTTCACTGCTCTAGTTTGTTTAACAGGCCAACCTGGCTGTGCAGGAACCTGCACGACTAGAACAGGAAGTCGTTTTCGGCGGTGGAGCTCACGTGTCTGAAACATCAGAACTATTTTTCTTTGTACAAACGTTTCATCCTTAGAAAACGGAGATCGCTCGAGGACCGTTTATCCCAGCGGTGCCTCGTTTGTTCACACACGCCGGCTCAAACTTTATGCCCACAAATCAAACGAGTGTCATCAAGTCTGGGCTCGTGGATTTTTGTTTGTTGTCATTTATGGCCAAAACCACGCTGCCCTCACACATGCACTGACCGTGTCACCCCTCCACACACAGACTACACCAGCTACGAAGTTACGTCCAGCGGCGCAGAGCTTCCCTCGCTGCAGAGCAGAATGTTGTGCTTCTGAAAAACACCAATAGCCCATAAACATCGTCCTAATGATGAGAACCTCTCATAACATTTATATCTGATATAACTGACGACCTCATGATTCCTTGAGTATGTAAAGACTTTACATTTTGTAGTTATGAGAAAGTCATTATGAAGTCAAAGGTTATCATTTCGCCTGCATGACTTACAGCGTGCCAAACCCTGTAACAGGCCAACAGCTTGTTCTTCAGGGACACCGGGAGCTGTTCCTGGAAGAAGCCTTGGTGCTCACCACTTCTCCCAAAGCTGTCTGAGAGCTCCAGCAGGCGGCTGTTTGCTGCTCTTAATTCATTTGTGCTTCATTGGATTTTTACCCCGACGGCCGCCGAGCCGACCGTAACGTGTAAATCTGTTCACAGTGTGTCGTCTGAAGGGTTTCTCCTCCTGACAGCCGGGTCGTGTGACCTCACGAGGGGGGCAGGCTAGCAGGAAGGCGTGAGAAGTGTGCCTCGGCTTTGAAGCGGTCCGGCCCGCCTGCTGGCTCGACAGGATACAGCCGGAGGCTTTAATGTGAGAGAGCGGTCCTTACGGCGCAGCACGGAAAAGAGGCCGGCCTGCGGTTCCCGTGTCCTCGCGGCGCTGATTTTAGAACATTTACATCATACTGACCACAGTGTTAAATAACAGCAGAGGGTTCCCACAGGTCCGCTCACGTGTGAGACCTTGCATGCAGACAAACCACAAGGACGTCCACAAAAACCCTAAAAACAAACCTGTGCGTGTCAGCGTGAGCCGCGGTCAGCAGCAGGTTTCCCCACGCTGCTTAAACAGCCAACGCTCTGGTTTAAGAGTATTTTAGATGCACTTTCACAGATTTACTCTCACAAATATTCTCACACATTAACGGGGCCTCCATGTTACTCCTGCCATGTGCACTAACGCCCCCGAGCACCACCAGGGCGCTTTGTGCTGGGTTTCATGGTAAAGTTGGGCGATATCTAAAATTTTCCAGCAGATATTCATCAGTCCAATAAATGATGATAGGCGATATATTCGCGCAGGTGACTTTTTGATGGGCGGAGCAATGTTTGAATGGTTGAAAATTAACCCTGTCATGCATCAATCATGACAACCTCAATCAGGACTTTTTTCTTACGTATTTTTTTATTCATCTTTAGGCATGAAAAAAAGATTTTTGAACTTCTAAGAGGTTAGAGAAATTTACATTTTAATTTAAATAAGAATCTTTTTGTGCACCAACACTGGCTGTTCACTGTAGTGACCACCATGAAAGGGTTAAATGGACAGCTCAGGTGGACACAGTGCACGCTGGCTGTATCTAAATATCTGTCAAAGGAAATGATGTCGCATCATACTGTGGAAAAGGATCATCCGTTGGATTGCTGAAAACGTTTGGCGAACATGTGCTTCCAGGACGGAAATATTTAATAACATAAACAGCCCTGTTGCTCGTTTCACCACCGACCGCTTCTCTCAGCTTCAACCAGCATTATTGGCAACGACCGGTGAAAGGCTCAGCCGATCGGCAATAAATTCCAACCTGAACGTCCATCCCAAAGTTTTAATCGTTTCCTTTTGACAGTCCGGTCGGTTTCAGCAGACGAAGATACTGATGACGCCCCTCAGCCTCCTCACAGACACTGCTCACTCAAAAGTCCTCGGTGACTTTCTTCTCGAGTTACAGCATTCACAAGATTTTCAGAACACTTGACCTTTGACCTCGACATCACTGAGATTCAAACCTGTCTGAGATTTTCAGTAGATATCCCCCCACACCTTCAGTATTAATTTCACTCTCCTACGTCGCCTACCAAACTTGTGTCCATGCTGCCCGCCCACGGCGCGGGGTGACGACAACACCTCACAGCAGCAGGTAAAAACGTCTAAACAGCGAAGTGATCGTTTCATTTCATTACGTTTGTAGAAATGTGACATCGAGACGAATCACAGCTGTGGTTTCAAACAGCAGGGAGATCAAACTTAAAACTGTGGAAAATAATTAAAACTTTATGACTAAAGAGCAGCTGACACACACACACACACACACACACACACACGCACACACACACACACGCACACACACACACACTTTCTGGGAAGTGTTTCCTGCATAAACACCTCTCCGAGCGCCGGCACACGCCGCCGTTAAATGCCCTGAAGACGACAGTTTGAGGATGAGGAGTTGGTAAGTGTTAGCGCAGACACACTGCAGAAGACGGGCGTCACGGCGACATGAGAAGTGTGCCGTCTGATTGGAGCTCCTGACAGGAAGTCAGGTGAGATAAGTGTGCCCTTTGAAGAGAGAAATCCTCTCGTGCCGGGACAAAGCGAGCTCATCCTTCCCACATCCACACCTCAAACTGAAACTATCCTACCTGAGCAGACGGTCGATTCACTTCCTGTCAGTTAAAGCTTGCACGGTCAGGCAGATCAGATTCTGAATTACTAAATGTACGATTTCTAATACGGTAAAATACATAATCAGGGTAAAAGAATGAAACACACCAGTTTCCTCCCTTCCAGTTTGGATCGTAGCTGATCCTGAGGTGGATGATTCACACGGAGATAAAGCACGACGCCTGTGCTTCAGGTGTCCATCACTCTCTGCACCGAGCTGTCTCAGACGTCCCGAGGTAGACGACCCAGCTTTGCACCAGAACACCCCCCCCCCCCATCTGTTTGCTTTTCATTTAAATTCAGCTCGAGCACATCTGTCTGTAAAAGGACACTTTAGAAAGCTGTAAGTGTGCAGTAATGAAGTGCAGAGCAAGTTTATGAGTCAACTGAAGACAAACGACTGAAGTTACTGCAGGCTTCAGTCTGGGGTCCTTTTCTCCGACGCTGATGTCCGCGGCCGGCTCTTCTGTTCCCGAGCTTCAAATACACACCGAGCAAACGACACGCTCACCTCTTTGTCACCAACAAAAGGATCCTAATGAGACTGAAGTGTGCCCTTTGAAGTGGCCATTAACGCCTCCAACAAAGATCCTGTCCCCAAAGACCAGCATCAAAGGAAACCGCAAAGCTCAAGCCAACCCCCTCCACCCCCTCTAATCTGACAGCTTGATCCAAGTCTTCAGCTGTTATTACTTTCAAAATCACCATCAGCTCAGATCTGTCACACACAGACACTGCTGATGTCTCCAGATGCTAATAAACATCTGTTTCCATCAGTAAACACTGCCCTGTATCAGTTCACCACAGAAACACATCTGGCTTGCCTTTCAGCTGGTTAGCAGCAACTGAGCTGAGCAAAGTAAGAGCGAGGGGACGATCTTATTACCGGAACAAAGCAAAGCTTCTGCACTGGAAAGGCTGGTTATCTGAACACAAACATGTATAATCTGAAGGCGAGGGCTGGAGCTGCGCATGTTTAAAACGCTGATGCTGCTCTCGCAGCCTGCTGAACATCTGGATCACCGTCTGGCTGGAAGTGCAGGTCGTTGTCTGCTCAATCCTGTTACAGTATGAAAGCGGACAAAAGGTGAGATAAGTGTGCTGCTTCCTCTCCCACAGCGACACCTCTCACCCCTCCATCACGCAGCGAGCTGTTAAGTGTGCTCCTCACGCGACAGATGCCTGATTTGAATCTGAACAGGTGACTTCACAATCAAACACCGTCGCCTTAAAGCAGGGCTGCCCAATCCCGGTCCTCGAGAGCTACTATCCTGCAGCTTTTAGATGCATCCCTACTCCAACACAGCTGAATCAAATGAATGGCTTGTTATCAGGCCTTTGCCAAACACGATGGCATGCTGAAGAGGTAATCAAACCATTTGATTCAGCTGTGTTGGAGTAGGGATGCATCTAAAAGCTGCAGGATAGTAGCTCTCGAGGACCGGGATTGGGCACCCCTGCCTTAAAGCATGAGCACGACCACACGCGTGCGTGTGTGTGCGTGTGTGTGTGTGTGTGTGTGAGAGAGACAGCAAAACTTACCGTGTTTCCTTGTTCATCCACCGAATTTGTGCCTAAAAAAGAAGAAAAATAAAACAGTTTATTGCCTCCCTCCATTCTCTTCCACTTATCCTGGACAGGTCACCAGTCTGTCACAGGGCTAACACGCAGACAACCATTCACACCTATGGGCACTTTAGAGCAGGGGTCCCCAATCCCAGTCCACAAGGGCCGGTGTCCCTGCAGGTTTTAGACGTGTCCTTGATCCATCACAGCTGATTTAAATGGCTAAATTAGCTCCTCAACATGTCCTGAAGTTCTCCAGAGGCCTGGTAATGAACTAATCATGTGATTCAGGTGTGCTGACCCAGGGTGAGATCTAAAACCTGCAGGACACCGGCCCTTGTGGACTGGGATTGGGGACCCCTGCTTTAGAGTTACCAGTTAACCTGTCCCCACTAACTGCATGTGTTTGGACTGTGGGAGGAAGCCGGAGTACCTGGAGAGAACCCACAGTGTATCACCTGTTCAGGTTATTTACTAGATTTGAGGCAGGTGACACGCACACTTCACAATAATGCTTGAACCTTCCAGCAGAAATATTAGCAAACACAGAGAAATCAATATTTGAAAACACGCGTGAGTAAACAGACATCACTGGTTGTGGTCGAGCAAAAACATTTTCTCATGTTTTAAAAATAAATGAGACGAAAAAAAACAACCAAACCATCCAATAACCAACAAGCACCAACAGCAACATCTCATCTCCTCCCAGGATGTTCGCTTGTTAGAAATGGTTAAACCACTACACTGTGCACTCGCTGTTACACACATTTAAAAGCTTCATTTATTACATTTCCAGGTAGGTGCCCTGCAGGTTAAAGGTCAGGTTACAGATCTATTTATACTCATCAGAAGCGAGCAGCTGTGGTTTGGGCTCTCTGATTTCTGTAAGCCTGAAAAGATGAAACTCAGCGGTATCGGTGTTTCCTGTTTCAGCTGCGTCTTCTCCTTTGTCTGCACCGACACAGAGGTCGTTTCTGAGTCAAGACTGCAGTGAGGCCTGGGCCCTCAGGTGCTAGCACACCGTCAGAGGCTGTGGTGGCTTCACGTGCTGCTGGTAATATCACACAGCGCCACCTCAGCCCCGACACAGGAAGAGAACAAGTCGAACCAGAAGTTTTCAAACTGTCTCCCGCCGTATCTCTGAGCTTCTGTACAGACACGTCGTTACAGTCGTGGCTTCAGCACAGTGCTAACCTGCACACTGCACCAGGTTACCACAACCAGAAAAATGACTTGCACGAGCAGCTGGAGGAGGTGCAGGTGTTAAAGTGCTGTAATGGGCTGTGATGGCATCACACACAGCACTAACTATGATGCTGATTATTATTATTAACTCAGCAGCTCTTACACGAGTCTGATCACTGTAATAACCTCCTTTCAACGAACCAATCACAGTCTTTACATATTTATGTTCATTTAAACCTTTGGTGCAGCCGCCCTGAGCCGAAAGCTACAAAGCACAAAGAAACACAGGAGAAACAGCAGGTTATAATCCTGAACATCTCCAGGTATGAGCCACAGAAAAGATGTACCATAAAATCTCTTCTGGCATTCTCACAGTGCAGCACAAATATTTCACAACTAAAGGAGAAAGTCAAAGTGGAAAAGGTGGAAAATCTCCAGGAGGAACGAACTTCAAAAGGATCCAAAATACGATCGAAAGCGTGGAATTAAAGACATAAAATCCCATTCCTGTGAAGACCGAGGTCACAGAGTCTGCCACGGTCTTCAAAACACGCAGACAAAAAGCAAATCAAAAATCTCCAATAACTTCATGAACGACTTGTTTCTGAAGAGGACGACTCCCCAAAGAAATCCTTCATCCTGTCCTCACCCGAGTCCGACTCCACAAATCAAAGATTACATTTCCATCCTCTCCTCCTCCTTAAACGGATCACTCTGGGTCCATTTTTCTACTCGCCAAACCTGTCAACAACACCCTTCACCATCCTCAGTCTGACTCTCCTCTGAAGGACAGGCTGCTAGCTCCACCCACCTGTCCCTGCAATCAGGGAGCCAAGTGTGAAAACACCAATCACACCCACCTTTCCATCAGAGGAAGTTCAGAGGCCCAGCGCGGCCAGAAATACAGATTATACCTGTTCTTTTGTTCTTTTGAAGATGGCTCAAAGAATAAAGCTGCATCTCCTGTTTGAAACGCCTGAAACTGACGTGTTTAAACCCAGCAGCAGAACCAAACATCTGATCCATGTTTCATCCGTGACCAACAACCACGTGCTGGGTTCATGTTTTCAAACAGGGGTATGTATAAAAGCGCCTGGCCGAAAAGCCCACGGTGATCTTTCCAGGAGTTTAATATTACTGACCCCCAGGGTAGCTGTGGCACATTTATTCCAACAAAACCCTCATTAAATTCTAAAGAGAAAAATACACAGCTGCCCTGCATGCATAAACCCTCACAGCACACTCGCATGAAGGAAACAATAAAAACCCTCTCTTCCTTTAAAAATGCCACACCACACTAGACTCTGTCAACTATTAGTTTAAAAAAAACGCTCCTAAAACCTTTTCAAGAATTTCTGTTTGTCCTCAAACAAATCTCTTCTTTTCTTTACATGGAAGGTTTGACATGATCAATCTGATCCAGTGGGAAACATCTGGATTACAGGCTTATTCTTGACTTTATTCCAGGGGTGGGGAACTCCAGGCCTCGAGGGCCAGTGTCCTGCAGGTTTTAGATGTGTCCTTGATCCATCACAGCTGACTGAAATGGCTAAATGACCTCCTCAACATGTCGTAACGTTCTCCAGAGGCCGGGTAATGAACTAATCATGTGATTCAAGTGTGTTGACCCAGAGGGTCCTGCAGATCTAAAACCTGCAGGACGCCGGCCCTCGAGGCCTGGAGTTTCCCACCCCTGATCTAACACATTTAAACTCTGCAGCTCTTGAATGTTTGTCAAGTTTCTGGATAGAAACCAGGTAGAAACAGCTTTGTGTCTACTGAAATTTATTTTCAGCTCCTTTGTCACATCACCCCTACAGAAAGAGGTTGAACTGGATTTGAACATAGAGACGTGCTGCTGAGCAAGCTGATTGGCTGACAGTGACCGTGTTTCCACCTGTGAAGCAAACCGGCTGAAACTGACTAAGTGAGGACGCCGTTTCAGGAGAGGCAGCAAAGTCTCTCGCTCTGAGTGCACAGGACGAAGCTTAAAGACTCACCGAATATATAAACGATGGCGACCGCGCCGCCGACTCCCATGAATCCGGCCAACCGTAGCACCATCTTCTTGGCGTAGGCCGTGTTCTCCTTCTGCTTCCTGTCCTCTGCCTTCTCGCCCTCCCTCTCGCCCTCCCCTCCCTCTGGAGGAGGCTGACCCTTAAACAAAAACAAGCGTTTCTGTTTGACTATGAACTAGCATTAATGAAATGTGCAGCACTGATGCGCTCACCTTCAGTCTGAACTGAGAGGAAAGCGTTAGAGACGTCAGCTTCATTCAGTTTAATACAAGGAAACGTTTTTGTGTCTCTTTTAAACAAACAAGCAAAAAAACAAAACAAAAAAAAACTTTATTCCCAAAAACAGAATTTACAGAAACAATAAAAACTGACAGGAGGTGGTTTGGTGTGTATGCTGGCACAGTCGACAGAGTGTGGAGGAGAGCCGTGCAGGGCAGTAGAGGAGTGCTGCATGAGTGCTGCATAACAGCCTCCATCGTGCTCCTCGTGCATGTTTCTGAGCAGACTGTCAGAATCAGACCGCATGCAGCAGGGCCCGTGCTCACAGCACAGTGCAGCAGAGGACAACAACCAACAGACCAGCTCTGGTGGATGAGAGCAGGTTCACACTGAGCACAGGAGACAGATGAGAGTCTGGAGACGAACGTTATGATACCTTCAGGCTCATCCAGCATGACTGGTTTAGCTGGATAAAGTCCTCAAACCCAGTCTGAGACCTGATGCTGCTGCAGTAGGCCCTTGTGTAGCCGCACTGTGTAGTCAGTGTCTGAAAGATGACGACTCTGATGCTCCCCAGACTTGAACCCAAGGAGAACCTCAGGGAGGTTCATGCACCTGATGCTGCCAAACAGAACTGCAGACTGCAGCACGCACAGATGCACTGGTCCAAGTCTGGGAGGAGATCACCCTCAAAACACCGTCCATCATCTCATCAGGAGCATGCCAAACTAACTGAAAAGGCATGGATGTGTGAATGTGTGCAAATGTTATACAGCATTTAAAACAACACAGACTGACAGAAACCAACATGGTCTCATGGAAGGCTGTTGATTTCCTTCATGTCCAATTAAATTCATGGATTTTAACAGATTTCAGCACTTTCTGTATCTGCTGCTGGGAAGAAGTGGAGTGGCAATTATTTAGTCTTTAACTAAAACCCTTATTACAGTTCGTCTGTAGATGTCACACTTTTATGTTTGGAGTCTGTGGGAAACACACTGTTAGGAGTCACGTGGTGGGTGGCTTCCTCCATGACCAGACACCACACTGAGCTGCACGGGGAGGAGGGTGGGGGTCTGCTCTGACCTTCAGAGCGAAACAAACCTCGGCTGTTAATGCGATTTATCCCGCAGATAAAATCAAGCTGTGGCACTGACAAACACACACACAGCTGCGGGTGAAGGGCAGGTAACCACAGCAGTGCCAGCTGCACTCACTGTCACACAGTTAGGGTTAACCCTAACCCTAGGGTTACTGTTCAGAGGAACACACACTGTGAGGACACTCACGTGAGCCGGGCTCAGGTAAGCTGTGTTGCTACAGCCAGACTAGATAAACGCATGCTAACATTAGCATGCTAGCTAGTTAATGCCAGGTTCATTCATTCAGGAGACAGCTGAGCCCGCGTGGGGTGGTGCTGTCATAACGTCACATTTCTGAAGATCACGTGTGTCGCGACAAACACCACAAAACACACAGTTTAGTCCGTCTGGGCCCGCGTGGGTGAGGAAAATAACTTTATGTAAGCTAGCTGTCAGTCTGAGCTAAGGTTGGAAATGTTCGTTCATGAGTTGATTTACATCACCAGGGCAGCTCGTGATGGCGGGGTTTCACGGTCGGACCTACTACTTAATACAGTTACCCCCGTCGACGCCACTGAGTGCTGTTAAGGTTGTAAAATGAAGCGCACCTGAGTCGGCTGCTGTTGCTGCTGGAGTCTCTCCTGGAGGATCGCCTGAGCTAACCCGCCCGTCGCACTGCCCGCTGCGGCCGGCGGCTTGTCCGTGGACAGTGTCCGGATGACGTCCACCATGGCTGGGGCGGAGGCACCCGCCGCCGCGCTCCTGAGCCGGAGGAGGCCCCGGCTCGCCCGCAGACACATGGGGAGCACACACACAGCCGACATGTTGGAAAGTAGCACTACAGCTAACGCAAATGACGCGAGTAAGAAGGACAAAAGCACCCGATTGGCCGAGGCCCTGTGAGGGGCAGGCAGACGCCCCAATCAGAGGAGTGGAAAGCCACGTGGGGCGCTAGGATGGAGGGCCTTTTAGGATTGGCACCAATCAGAAGAAAGAGTGAGTCTGACCTTCGATTGCGACATTAACCCTCATATTCTCATCAAATATTACGTTTTACCACCAAGAGATATTTGCCTCAAGGAAATGGTTTGCATATGGCTGATGAGCAAGTGTTTGTGTCAGGCACTTTGTTTATTTATTGAATACATAAATGGCCCCTTGATAATGAAACTCTAGCGCCACCATCAGGTCAAACTTTTAATTTTAGATTTATTTTCTAATTATGTTTCTAATCAGGTGCTTCACCAGGGGATTTACCTCTGTATTTGGTTTTTGTTCTTTATTTTTCTCTCACTTTCTCTGTTTTTTAGTTTTCTTTTTCTAAACTTTTCTTTCTACTGTCTTTTCAGCTGCTGGCACTGTAGAGTCCCAGTGCTTACTGCCCAGATGCGTATCACATCTGGTAGGTGTGTTTCTTCAGGCTGAACCACTACCATAAAGCTCTACCAGTTAAAATAAAATTTGTTTGTTTGTGTTGTAGATCCGGACCGTGGTCCGCCTGTTAGCCTTCTCTGATCTATGGTATCAAAAATAAGGTGTCGTCAATAAGTCTTATCAGGAAGTCATTCTCAAGAAAAAAACAGCTCCAAATTTGTGATTTTCTAACTTGTCCACATTATCAGCCATGAGCAAAACAAGCCCCTAACACCCCTCTCCATGTTAAACCTTAAAGCTAGGCTGGAACTGAATTGCAAGAAATTGTAGGAAAACAAATAGTATTGCAAAAAGAAACTACTTACTTAAAAAGTCAATGAAGGAAGGGCAAAAATTATGGTGATACTGACAGTAATGGGCAGTAAACTGAAGTACTGTCCTGCTGCACCAGGGTGGAGTCAGTCATGCTCCAGAAGAGACTGAGCGCAAAGTCCGAGCAGATTCATCAGCACGTCTAAATTTCAGGTGGAACGTAAAGCCACGTTCTTTTCAAACATTAGTATTTGATCCATCTGCTGACACTGTAGTGCCCCTTCCCTGTATACATAATAGATACACATGTCTATAAAATCACCAAATCATCACATCAGATTTGACTCACCTGCAATTTGCTGAAAACATTTCAAAATGAGTTGAAATTAGTAAAACATTTGAAGATATGTGGGGTTATGAAACTTAATTATTTTAGCTTTTATTATTATAAAGAGACACCGACTTAAATATTAAAACATAGCTTCCAGTTAGGTTCTATAAATCATTAGCCATCGATTAATTAATAAAAATTAAGAAATACATGCTTATATACGCTGCTTAATTGTTTATGTGTGTTATTTGTGCAAGAATTTACAAAACTACTACTAATAATAATACATTTTATTTATAGGCGCCTTTAAGACCCTCAAGGTCACTTTACAATAGCGCAAGAACAATAGAAGCAGTAAAATATAATAAGCACAACACAATAAAATATAGAGAAAAGGTAAAAGGTTAAAAAAAAGAAAAGGGAAAGAAAAGATGCAAACTATCAAAGAAAATTTCACAATCTGTATTTTTCACTGTTGGTGGAATCTTAAGTACCTGGAGAGAACATGCAAGATGCAAAAAAATAAAAAAAATCAGCCTCAAATTTACCCTAACTATAAAAATATTAGTGTTTACTCTGATATAACAGCTGGATTGATTTAGATTATGAGATAGGTGAGAAGAGGGAAATCTAAGATGCTTGGAAAGACCTATCTTATGTCTAAGTCTATGTTTAAGTCTATCTTATGGCCAACCTCTGGCTGTATCTTGGACCTGGAAAATGGCACCACGTTCCCACAATACATTGTGGCGTGATGTCAACTCCAAAGCCCTATTGGTGGAGAGTCCTGGATTGTGAAGTCCTATTGGGAGTGTTCCTAAGAGGTTTCATTGACCCACTATTGATCATGTGCCTCATCACATCAACCAAGTGTGAAAACAGGTGTGGGTCACTATCAGAGGTTTTGGGTGAACCCATTGTTAGAGCTTGCTGAGGTCAAATGGCCCCAGGATGTGAGTGGGTGTTAAGGCGTCTGGGAAGGCTCTCAAAACTGGATTATAAATGACAGACAGTTAGCGTCGTAAGCCCCGCCCTCCGTTCAAAGATGGTCGTTCACAGTGGACATAGATGGCTTCTTTGTGAACTGGTTTAGATTTCTGGATTCCTTTGGAGAGTTAACCCCTGCGTATTAGCTTAAAACGCTACAAAGGGCCAAGAATAAAGGAGGACAAGATCTACCTAACTTCCAACACTACTTCTTAGCCAACAGGCTACAATTCATCCCAGGTTGCCTAAATCACAGCCACTTAGATGAACCCTAGCTAGACACAGAACAGGCACTATGCAATATAAATAGAGACCTCAGACCTACCATTCATTAGCTCAAACATCAAATACGATGTATGCAAAAGCATCAACATCAGCTGCTCTCTGACAGCATGGTGTCTTCATTCATCCCAAGCAAACGTGCACCCATCTGGAACAACCCTGACATACTACAGAACAATAATATGATTAACTTCACAGTCTGGAGTCGTAAAGGAATTAAATACTTGGAAGATATATTCGAAGGAACAGACTTTATTCCATTTGACAGATTAGTTATACAATACATGATTAACAAGAATAGATTTTTAGAATATCAACAAATTAAGTCTATAGTAAAAAAGAAATTAAAGCCTAATCAAACGCCATCAAGTGTGGTACAAATTCTTTTACATCCCTGGGTACAGTTAATAAAATAATACATAGAGTGCACTATACAGATCAATGGATGTTCAGGATGGGTTTTACGTCTTCTAACAACTGTTCGCACTGTAAAGGCAATACGCCTAAAAATTACATCCATGCTCGTAGGTTCTGGTGCTGGATATGCGAAGACTTATCAAAGTTTTTTGAAATGTAACATTCCAGCCTCCCCTTCAGTTTGCTTTTCGGGTCATTTAGATGATGTCACTGTGGAGATGATTACAGTCCACATGGCTCTCGCTGCCTTATCCATTGCTAAGAAGACTGTCCTCATGAAATGGAAAATAAAAATCATTTTAAGTTTAACCAATGTAGAGACCGTTTGTTGGACTATTGCCAGACAGGAATCAAATAAACAAACAAAAAATAGATTCTGGGAAGAGACAATGGAGTAAAAGTCAAATGCTCTGGACCTCCTCTCTCAGAGACAAACGACTGCCACGACCAGGCACTAACACTTTTTATTATGGGTGATAAACAGGATACTAAAACAGATTAAGGTGCCCTTAGGTCTGATCTCAGCTCATGTTTCTCCTTCTGCAACTTTCTGGGCCATCACCTCACTACCTGGATCCTGGACTACCTCACCGACCGACCACAGTATGTGAGGACTCAGGGCTGTGTGTCGGACAGGGTCGTCTGCAGTACGGGGGCCCCACAGGGAACGGTTCTGGCTCCGTTCCTCTTCACCAACTACACTGCAGATTTCTCCCACAACTCCACCCAGTGCTTCCTGCAGAAGTTCTCTGATGACTCTGCAATAGTCGGCCTCATCACTGATGGGGACGACAAGGAATACAGAGAACGGACCCAAGGCTTTGTGGACTGGTGCCAGCTGAACTACCTCCAGATCAACGCCAGTAAAACCAAGGAGCTGGTGGTAGACTTCCGCAGGCACAAGCATTCTCCACTGCAACCACTGAACATCCAAGGTATGGACATTGAGGCTGTGGACAGCTACAGGTACCTTGGTGTTCATCTGAACAATAGACTGGACTGGACTCATAACTCAGACGCCCTCTACAGGAAAGGGCAGAGCAGGCTGTACCTGCTGCGGAGACTCAGGTCGTTTGGAGTAGAGGGCCCACTCCTGAAGAAATTCTATGACTCTGTGGTGGCTTCTGCTATCTTTTATGGCGTGGTCTGCTGGGGCGGCAGCATCTCTGCTGGGGACAGGAAGAGACTGAACAGGGTGATCCGAAGGGCCAGCTCTGTTCTAGGATGCCCTCTGGACCCAGTGGAGGTGGTGAGTGACAGGAGAATGGCGGCTAAGCTGTCATCCCTGTTGGACAACATCTCCCACCCCATGCAGCAGACTGTGACAGCACTGAGCAGCTCCTTCAGTGGGAGACTGCGGCACCCACGGTGTGGGACGGAGAGATTTCGCAGGTCTTTCCTCCCCACTGCTGTCAGACTCCACAACAAAGACTTTAACTGATCAAGCACACACATCCATACATATGCAATAATACTAAGTGCAATAATCTTTTCTGGCATCGTTGTATTTTTACTCAGTTGTATATAGCATTTGTATTTGTATTCTATTTTTATCTTATTGTATATTTATTTTATTTTATTCTACTGTATATAGTATATTATTTTATTCTATTCTGTACAGTTGTGTACTGTATTTATTCTTATTGTATTCTAATTTTTGCCTCATAACTTTTGCACTGTCCACTTCCTGCTGTGACAAAACAAATTTCCCAAGTGTGGGACTAATAAAGGTTATCTTATCTTATCTTATCTTATCTTATCTCCTTATTTGGAGTCACTGCTTCACCCATCACCATGGCAACCACCTCCTACCCTCCAGTCAGATCTGCATAAAGGAGTGTATGGTGCATACCATCGCCTAACAACTGATTTATCACCTTAGCTATATTCCACAGAGAGGAATGCTTCTCTCTGCTCATGTCTGTTAGCATCAGAGTGAATCCTGTGTGCAGTAAAAGACAAAACACAAATATGTGGTGCTAATTATGCGACATTAGCCTTACAAGATAAAAATAAATCCCAACACGTGTCTTTAGTTGCTCACAGGTTCTTGCACTTACAAATTGGTTCAGTTTTGGTTGCTGTATGTTTTGAAATTTTACATTTACATTTTTCTTTACTTTAAATAGTAATGAATTTATTATAATGATGCATTAAAAAACTGCATCAACTCTATGCCTTGAAAGCAGTCAGCTGACTTTTTCTATTTAGCTTTTAAAATTTTTAATGTATTTTTTCTATTAAAGATTTTACTGTTATTATAATATGGAGGTAATTTCCTGCCAGATATGGAGGTCTCCCACTGTAGTTGTTTGATTTTGAAATGTGATGTCATGGTCCTCCAATTCTCCCTGGGTTCCTGTCAGTGCTTGTTATTGTGTGTCCCTCTCTCCCTCCCATCCTCACTCCTTTCCGCCTGGGTGGTGTTGCATTGCAGATTTCCACCTTCGGCCAACGCACCTGCTGGCAATCAACTCACCTGCTGCTCATCATCCCCATCAGACTGGTCACTACGGCGGCTGAGTTGTGGTCATCGCTGGCTCGTGTAGCCCCAGCTGTCACAGTTTCTCTTCTCCCTGGTGCAGACCTTCCTTGATCCCTCCCTGTTTCCCTTGGACCCTGTTGAGCGAGTGTATTCATGAGTGAGCGTCAGCGTGGAGTGCAAGTTTGGTCATGTAAGTGACTGACTTTGTGAAGACAGGAGTTTGGGCGTGTTTCCCTTCTCTGGATTCTATGGAGCTCCTGTTCCCTTCACCATTGTATATAGCAGCTGGTGTCACTTAAATAAACTCACCTTTATTGTGAACATTCAGAGACCCGCGTTTGAGTCCTGTCAATCATCTTGACATGTGAATGGGCAGATTGAAGGCTCAGTCTGAAAGCCCAGAAACAACCTCCATAAAGTAGCTCTGCTTTTGTCACTGTGGACTGCTACCAGTATTATTTGTGTCACAGTAAATATTCAAATTTTCTTTAGATTTCTCTGTTTTCCAAGCATATCAGTGACATATCAGCAAATCAGTTCTCTCTTTGTGGCACTGTTAGCTAAAAGTTAATAAATTAACACAGGGTGTTATTCTGAGGTTTTTTAATTTTTCCCCCTTTTTGATACAATGTAGTGACAGACATTAAAATGAAGCATAATCTTACAAATTTAAAGGAAGGAGATGATGAAGAATTCAGAACTGATGAAAAATGGCAGGAGTAACTGTTAGGTAAATCACATTGGCTGGTAAAAGCAAAGAGTTCCTTCAGTGGGCTGGTTTCAGTCATTATGCAAATGTACTGTTTATAAGATTGAAACCTGCAGTCAGCTGAGACTGAAGAAGTCACCTGGATGAGTGATGAAACGTTTCTCCCACTGAAAACGCTACTTCCAGATGAACAGAATCAACCATTTGGAGATCTGCTTACCTGGATGACTGAGCATCAAGACAAAGAGAAGTTAACCTTTATTTAGTGATATGACCAAATAGCAAAATGGACTTTTTGGGAGGAAGTCTGCAGAATTGAACCAAAAGCAATCTGGAATTCTTCTTCCCCTTCGGTTTTTTTTTTTTTTTTTCAAATATTTGTTCAGGCAAACGTGTTGAAAGAAGCCTTTAACTGTCAAAATTCTTGTTTTGGACCTCTAATAAAATCAGTCATGTCTGATAGCTTTTCTGATATTGCTAAAAACCAAATTTGCTACCCTCTTCACTCATTTGGATGAGCAATTTAGGTTCTCACCACAGTGAGGACGCTGGTAGGTCAAAACTTGGAATATCCCTAACACTTATATGAAGGAACAAATAGAAGAGCCATAAATATCTCTTTATCATAGTTCAATAAGTTTAAAGTGATTTGTCTTTGAAAGCTTTGTTGTAGCTTTACTCTTTTTTCAATATAGTGTATTCAAAGTTCCAATTTTCAAATGGGTTCAAATGGAGCGTTCCAACATATACACCAAATCTGACAATTGTCTTATTTAACCTGTTTGTCTGAAACAGGTCTCTACCTGTATAAAGAAAGGTTAAATAAAATAAAATTGACTTCATTCAAACAAAAGCATACAACATCACTCTCAAACTGAGATTTTGAAATTTAGCATTAGTCCACTTTGTTTTTTTCCCTCCTTTCTTTCAGCTCAATCTTCAATATGCTTTGTCCACTATCCCTCCTGACATATTCAAACCATCTCAGCATTGCCTCTTTATTTGTCACTTGGGTTTGGTAAAAACAAACAAACAAGCAAACAAAAAAAAACTATTCAAGTACAATACAGATAGCTGAAAATTCTACTTAAGTACAGTAGTCATACCTGGGTCCTGGGTTAGCAACCAGACAAAAACATTCAAAAAGTCCTAGGAGTGAAGGGAACAGTTTACCCAGCCCAGGATAGGGTTACCACCCTGGAGCCAGGTCCGGGGAGGGGGCCTGGGGGCGAACGTCTGGCAGCTGGGTCTTAGTCCACGGGGCCTGCCCAGACACAGTCCAATAAATGGACATTAGCCCAGACTCCTGTAGGCCCATCACCAGCAGGAAGCACTCTAAGGGTCGGGTGCAGTGTGTGCTGGGAAGCTGCCAGGGGATTCTCACAAACCATCAGGCGACTCAGGTTGGTTGACACACCTCTACAATGTTGCATGTAGATCAGGGTGGAACCTCTTGACCGGGGTGGTGTTTTCCATCTTCAAGAAGCAGGGACCCGAGAGCATGCTCCAACTATAGGGGGGAATCACACTGCTCGGCCAGAGTTCGTTCATTAGTCGAATGTTGGATACCGGAGGAACAATGTGGTTTTCATCCTGGTCGTGGAACGCTGGCCCTGCTCTTCACGCTCTTGAGGATACTTGAGGGTGCATGGGAGTTTGCCCAGCCAGTCTACACGTGTTTCGTGTACTTGGAAAAGGTATTCAACTGTGTCCCTCTGAGTGTTCTGTGGGAGGTTCTTCGAGAGTATTCGGGTGTCTGGCACACTGATGGGGGCCATTTGATCCTTATACAACTTTTGCAAGAGCTTGTAATAGGTCATACTCATTTCCAGTGGGGTTTGGACTCTGCCAAATCTGTTCTTTGTCACTGATTCAGATTATTTGTACAGAATTTCAAGGAATAGCCAGGTGGTGGGAGGTTTCCACTGGGACTGCCTGAGAATTTCATCTCTGCTTTTCGCAGATAATATGGTTCTGTTGGCTTTATCAGGTGGTGGCCTCCAGTTCACACCGGAGCAATTCTCACGCCAGTGTGAAGCAGCGGGAATGACAATCAGCACCTCCAAATCTGAGGCCATGGTCTTCAGCAGAAAAAAGGGTGAAGTGCCCACTCCAGGTCAGGGACCTGGAATCTCCTCCCCAAGTGGAGGAGTTTAAGTATCTCTGGGTTTTCTTCACAAGTAAGGGAAGAAGATGGATTGGTGCAGCGTCTGCAGTGATACGGACGCTGTACAGGTCTGTCTATAAACTGTTGTCGAACAGATCCTGACTCAAGAGTCTGGATCACTGTATCACAGGACAGAATCTTATTTTGATTTCTTTTGAAGGAATAACTGGACTATAAGAAATTTCAGAGTCATTATTTTGAATATGAATCTGTCATGATGGAGCAGAATAGACTCACGCACAGACTGCGAATCACAATAAACAGTTCCTTATTAACACAACTCCAAGTGCACCATAAACAAGTGGGGAAAAGGGGTTCCAGGGATCCCAGGGGTCCACTGCCGGTCCACTCACTCCACATGGAAATCCTCCTCCTTCTACATGCCACACTTAAACTGCCACACTCACGTACAGGTTCTGAAACAGGGTCTCAAGACGGAGCAAGGAGAATCTATATACAGGGTCAAGGTATTTAATACTAAGAAACCATGAATAGAACTCGAAATGTTGGAAAGGCCAGAATTACACTAAGGAGTGTTACACAATAGTCCAGCGACGAAGGTCTCATAGCCACTGCCTTAAGAAGTGGCAGACAGACAGGTTGATGAATCACAGGTGAGTAATTACTTGCAGGTGTGAGGACCGAAAGCAGGAGCCCATGATGAACGCCACCCAGGCAAACCGTTGCGAGCAGGAAGGAGAGAGAGCGAGAGAAACCAGAACAAACACATGTAGCCTGACTGGGCCGACTGGGCAGACACAGGGACCATGACAGTATGCTACTCAAGCAAAATAACAGAAACAAAAGAGTTGTGTTGTCATGGTCCTCCTGGATGTCCCCTGTCCCCTCTCCCTCTGGTTTTTCTTTCTTTTTCTATCTGTCTGTGCTGTGTGGGTGCACTAACCACACCCTGTGTTTTAGAGGTGGATCTTCTGCCTACTTCAGCCAGACTGGGCACACCTGTTTCTGAACTTGTGATCTGCCGCTCCCTACTGAGGCTTGAGGAAGACGTCCATTTGATGCCAGACTGTTAATGAGATTGGTGTCTCAGTATGGAAATGTCTTGATACACGCTCAATCATCCAGGTAAGGAAATCCCAAAAAGTTGATTCTGTTCATCTGGAGTATGGAAATGTTTGTCTGCTTTTTCTGTGAGAGACTGCAACTTACCTTCTGCTTCTTTCTGTGCCGATATCTAGACCTGGGGTGTGAGTAAAAAGGAGGATTAAGGATCTGTTGAACTGGCGGAGTGTCGTAACTGAGGAGTTATGGATCAGACGGCTTGAAGGTTCCGCTATCGCTGGCAACTTGATGTTCTAATTGTAAAAAGACAAAAACGCACTGAACTTGGATTCTGAGTCTGTGTTTTCAGTCAGAAAACCTCAAACATGACAGGTATAGTACATGTACATGTTAAAACAGGAGTTTGCAGTGTAACTAATCAACTAAGTGTTTTATAAAACATGTTAGTGAACTTGTAGTCAAGTTCCTAAACCTGTTTTTTTTTTTTTTTGTTTTTTTTTAATTGTGATAAACTTCTTCAAATTTAAAATTGTATTCAATTTTGGTTATTGTTATTGTGTCCACTTGTAAATAACATTTACGTTGTGCAAGTCTTACTTATATTTCACTTTTTCTTTGTCATGCCACCTTTGTGTTGAACTGAATTTGGGTTTTAGCCCTTGTTGTTTATTTTTCTTGTCCAGGAGCTTCTAAATTATTCATTTTTGTCTTGAGACTTCTTTAAAGCTCTTATAATTATGCACCCTGCAAGCTTCTCCTTTTACTACATTTCCGTTAACATTTGACACTACTCAACAATTCTGTTTCTACTTGCTCTTGCTGGACTGGTTTGACAAGGTGTTAGAACTCAAAGGGCATAAGTAGCGTTTCTAATGCTGTTTGAATCTAACGTACTACTTTTGCAACTATCCCACTCAGATAAGTTTCCTTAGAAGTGCAGTATGCAGATGATCTGATGGATCCAAAAATGAATAACTCCAGTAAGTCCTATTATTTTCTTTTTCATATTTATTGTTTGTTTTTTTGTTTTGTTTTTTGAGGACTTTTAATAATAAAATGAATAATTAAAATAATCTTCAACCTGAGTGCTAATTTAGTTTTCTTTTCGCTCTTAGGTGCATCCTCTAGCAAGAAAAGGTAATCCCATGTTTACATCGTGCTTTCATTCCCTTAAACACATTTCTCATCTACTGATGAAGCTCATGATCTGAGTTGTTATGAAATTGAACACATTAAACTCCAAAAAAAAAAGAGAATTTATGGTTTTAATTTAAGTGGTGTACAAAGAGTCATCCTAAGGATGGTCAAAAGTAGATGAAAATTAAGGACTTGGATTAAAGAATTGAAAGTGGTTCTTTTGAGGCTACATTAGTCAAGTCTGGTTTTACTGGTTTCCCATATGCTAGCTCAATCCAAACAAGTGATGACTTGTTAAACTGAACCTACATGTTCCTAAAAAATATATATCTATAATGCTTTTTTATGTATATTTATCATATAAGGGTTTCAGTCTTCATGCTCCAAGCTTGTGTCCTCTACCAGAGGCCTGGGAGCTTGAGGGTCCTGTTCCTTCTTCCTGATGTTGCTGTCATTCGGTATCACTACAGCTATCATTACAGCCGTCTGCTTCTGGTTGTCTACCACCACTATGTCCATTTGGTTAGCCGCCACCATTTTGCCCATCTGTATCTTGAAGTCCCAAAAGATCTTTGGTCAGTTATTCTGCACCACCCTAGTAGGAGTCTCCCATGTTGATCTCAGGACTTCCAGTCCATACTCGGCCCAGATGTTCCTGTATTCTACGCCAGCCACTGGTTTGTTGGGGGTTTTGTTTGTTTTTTTTATATATATGTAAATATTCATCATGAACTCATGGGGATGTGGTGAACAACACTAAAGGTCAACTTCAAGCCAATAGCGTCAGTCAGCATCAAGTGCGGGATCTACCAAGGAGATGCTCTGTCCCCCCTGATGTTCTGCAGGGGCCTGAAGAACAATATGGGCCTCGACAAAGGCATCATTTGGACACACCCCATTTGCTTGATACAGGCCTGGGGGTTTCAATGTCAGGTGTAACATCACTAGCAATCAAAAAACATTTTCAAATTACATCTGCCTGCCTCTGAATGTGTACATGTGGGTCGTGCTCACGACTACAATGTGTTTCTCTGGCAGACATTAGCATTCTGATGCTTTTTTTTCTCTCGGCAGTCAGTCTTTCTGTTAGCATGATTAACCTACATTGAAGTGAGACATGTCATTGTGTTCTCTTCCTTTGATTTATTTACGCTGTAAATTTGTCCATTTTTAGATGTGAATGTGTTGCGCTCAGTCTGTTTTGTGACAGCTGCTCACAACTGCAGGCGGTCATGAGATCACAACGGTGTTAGTTAAACTACTGTACAAATCTTTCTGCTATAGATAAGCATTATTTACTGTTAACTACCTGTAGGTACTGCATGTAAACTATGACACATTACGCATAGTTTTATTTCTCTGCAGAGATCATCGGGACGGAACCGAGTCTGCCAGTTTTCCATCTATCCATAACAATCCTCAAGACTTGGACTCCATATTTGCAGTATGTGATTGTAGAACATTTTTCACCATCGTTAAAATCATTGAAAATTTATCTGTTTTGATGATCCTTGCAGTGCTATTAAGACTAGTGTTGTCAACTCCTACAACATTGCCTGATTGTGGTTCTGTCTGTTCTGTTACAGTTACTTCAGGAGGACATTATAGCATTTGTGAAGAATGAACTGCAGATGATTCAGAGTGTTTTGAGTCAAGGAAACTCTGACTATTTAGAGACTCAGAAGAAGCACGAGGTGGGAGATGTTGGTGAAGAAAAGCAGATCCGGATCAGGAGAACAGCTTTTCTTAAGATCACACTGCAGTTCCTGAGGAGAATGAATCACAACGAACTAGCTAAGTCCATCCAGAGCAGTAAGACATATTAACAATACTGAGAAACAAATGATGATAATTACAATGACAAAAGCTATGACATCTAATGATGCCACAGTGATCCCTAATACTGTCATGAATTGCTGTGTGGTGGGCAGGAAGTGAACCTCAATGCAGGACTCATGAAAAAAGGAAATAAACTCAAAACAGGTTTAATACTGAAGTCTTTCGAAATATACATGCAAAAAACAGAACAGAGTAAAAGCTAATGCCAAGATGTAGACTTGAACCTATGAACTGGACACAATCGGGGAAAAACTCAAAATGAACAGGAGAATAAACCTGAAGTGAGATGCTACCAGCATCAACATAACAAAACAAAAACTAAGGCTCAGCATATCCGTGTGATTATAAGTATACTGAATTTATTTGCTCACTTAAAACTTCCGTAAAAATCATGGAGAGAAAGAATGTAATACACAATCAAAAATCCAGAAAAAACAAACAAAGTTATACATACTAACTTTGTGGACTGCGCTGACTTTGCATTTTTTCTGGATTTTTGGTTGACATTCTGTCTCTCTGTTAAAATGCAAACAACTACTGAGACTGTTTGTGGCAGGGTGTGGTCTATGGCGCCACTGCAGGGAGGCTGACACACCGGAGCTGCATCAGCTCATCACACCTCCCCTGCATTAATACCAAGACTCTTTTATGAATACATGCTGTTGGAATGCACTCACAATGTGGTTGAGTATTGGCTTGCTGAATTAAGCAATGAAAAAGACATGGGTTAGATAGTAGCATTCATATAAATCTTTATGGTGCATCCCCAGATGTAAAGGTTTTACATGCCATGTGCACAAATCATGGAACAAATATAAATAATGGATGTAATACAGGTCTAAAAACTGAAGCCATTACAACTCCATTACACATGTGTACCGTATTTTTCAGACCATATAAGGCGCATTAAGCGAAACAAAACAGTCAGATAAGTCAAACTTTACTCAACTCATTCTTCTTGCTTCCTCCACTTCTGTACCATTGATTCATTAATGTTGAATTCTCAGGCAGCTGCTCTATTCCCATGTAGTTGCAGTATATTAGTGACTAACCTGGTATTGTGGATGGATTATCTCAGTTGTTCTCCTGACTGAAGTTTGGTCCGTTTACAGCATCCTGCCATGCGATTGCATTTGTCTCTAACCATGAGGAACCCTCACGTTAACTTTTATCGAGTGGAAAAAGTTACCATTCATCCTCCAGCTTCAGTGAGTTTATGCTATGCTAACATAGCTGTGTTGCTAGCGATCACGTAGCACATCATTATATAGCAGCTAGCCCAACTTCAGTAACCCTACAAACGTCACTGTGTCATGATTCGGCTGTGTGGCAGGCAGGAGAGGACCCAAACGCAAACTCACGGAGACAAAACGTAAACTCAAAAACACAGCTTTAATGCTGGCAAAAAGTGAAACACAAAAACAGTACTAAACTAAACTGGAAAAGCTAAACATAAACTATACCAGGAACCACGGGGAGAATCACACACAGCCATGAGGGAGACTACGACACTGACAAAGAGAAACACAGGGCTTAAATACACAGAGGGATAGCGAGGGAATGAGACACAGAAGGAGGGCACAGCTGGGAGAAATCAGGACTGACGAGACAAGCAAAGCAGGACACATTCACATAAGACACGGAACTTCAAAGTAAAACAGGAAGGATCACACAGAGACGCGAACTTGACACAGTGGAGACAGCAACTAAGAAACACAGAGACATAAACCATAAGGCAGAGGACTAAGAACCGAAAGACACAGAGGGGAAATCAAACATGCAGACACAGACTTACACAGAACAGAGGGGACACAGAGAAACATGAAGGGCAAGGGATCGAAACTAGAAACCATAAAATAACTCACACAAGTACAATATTACAAACATCACAAGGAACTAAAAACGCTGGGTCAGGGGACCCAGGACCATGACACACTGTTTAGTTTTCTGTCTTCATTTGTGTTGGAAGTGACAGCAGAGCTGTAAGATTGAATTTTTCAGAAATCTCTCAGTCAGAACATGCTATATTATGTTTAGGTGGAAGTTAGCGAGCTAACTTCCTGCCAGAGGTGTGGACTCGAGTCACATGACTTGGACTCGAGTCAGACTCGAGTCATTAATTTTATGACTTTAGACTTGACTTGAAAAAATGTTCTAAGACTTGTGACTTGACTTGGACTTTTACACCAATGACTTGGGACTTGAATTGGACTTGAACCGGTTTACTTGAAAAGACTTGATATTTTACCCCAAATATAAATTTAACATGCATATTATATAGAGATTGAAAATGTGACGTCATTCACGGGTAGAACCGCAAAGGATTCTGGGAACTTGTGGCAAGCGGTACTAGCGCACGCAGGCTTTCAATTAAAATCAGTTATACAGCGATAAAAAGAAACACAAGAAGCCGTTGTATTATTAACTGCAATAGCCGGTCGCATGACAGCCACGGGAAGCCGACGGGTAAAGAGATCGGTTGTTATCGGATTACATCGTTGAAGAGAAATTGTTCGAGCCATGTTTCCGAAGTAACAAAGAGGCGACGGGTGGCCTGGATTGCAGCCATTCAAAGGTCAAATATAACGTCCCAGAACCCTCCAGCTCACAGGTTAGTCTGCTCCAAGCATTTACACGAAGGTCAGTGTCTTTTAGTACTTAATACGTCATTTTCATAACATAACTGGTGATATAGGTTACAAGCAAGTCTGGCGCTGAACAGAAATTGTCGCGCTATGCTCCTTTATTTATTGTGCATAAATAGTGAATTGTCCTGACACAATATTGTGTTTCGCTTCTGTTATTATGGTACATTGACAAAAACATATACTTTTATTCACAGGATAAAACAGGTTTTTTGTATCACTAATTGTCCAGTACGATTACAGCATACAATATTATTGTCACTGCTACATTTCTGTGATGCTACCAGAAATTATTTCCACTACTAATTAATTACCGCTGAGCTCAAAGGTCCTATTAATAAACGGTTAAGGAATGTGTATTTATGACGACGATTTGTGAGACTGGTAAACTTATGATACGTACGATGGTCTTTCGTTCTACACGGTGCATTTCAAGGTCCTGCACCCATCCGTCGGTAAACTGTGCCTGGGCTTGTTGCAGTGACCTGAAGTTACTAAACTTCATGAGTGTATGCACTCACTCCAAGAAGCGTATAATTATAAATATGCATATAAATGTGCTACAATGAGATAGCTGACTTCATCTAACTAGCAAATGTTGTCCAGGCTACGTTGGTGATGCAGTTTTTTTTAATGTGTATGATATTTTTGTCATGCGATTTTAAAGCCGGTCCTACAACCGCATCCAAGAATGACATGCAGCTTATCTCAGAACTGTCGGTGAAAATTATTCTTGGAGCTAGGTTTAATTGAGCTGCATTTTAAAGAGGTGCAATTTCACAATTTGTGTATATTTTCTAAGTTCACTATTTTGTATGTGTTGAGAAAACACAGATTTTAAAATTACATGGTCTAACATTTACATTTAGCATAACTGCAACATTATTTTTTCGTTGTTTTTTTTTTTTTTAAAGACTCGAAAGGACTTGAAATTCAAAGTTTCAGACTTGTGACTTGACTTGGATTTTTACACCAGTGACTTGAGACTCGACTCTGACTTGCCTGACATTACTTGAGACTTGACTTGAGACTTGAGGATAAAGACTTGAGACTTACTTGAGACTTGCAAAACAATGACTTGGTCCACCTCTGCTTCCTGCTAACTTCTAACTCCGTTAAATGTATTAAATTCTGTTTTCATGGATGCCTGGATGTTAAACTTAATTGTTACAACTGGTAAAGAAGCAACGCTGATCATTTTATTAAGGATGAAAGAATTTAGACAGTTTTTAACTCTCAGTGATGCTGCTGTTTTCGTTTAACTTTGGGACCTGAAGTGTTGGAGTTTAGGAGCCAGATTACTCCGCGAGGTTCCTGACTACAGCAGTCATAATGCTCTGACAATCCATCAAGCGGTGCGGCTTTGTAGCTTAGCAAAGTCATACTAAAACATTTTTGACAGATTTTTGAGCGCCGTGTACCACATTAAATTGGTTCGAGGTCAGTAAGTACAACCAGAATTCATCATAAGTCGCACCAGATTATAAGGCGTACTGTCGATTTTTGAGAAAATTAAAGCATATTAAGTGCGCCTGAAAAATACAGTACTCCAATATGTATTTAAAATCACTGGATTCTGTTTTTATTTGGATTTTACACACTGTCTAAACTCTTTTGAAAATGAGGTTGTATCACTTTTGCCATTGTTACTGCAAACTCCACTTGGTGTTATTACTGGTTTGTTTTATGTTTTGTTTTTGTTTATTTGTTTTTTAATTCAGAAACTAACACAATGAACTGCCAGCGGAAAGTCAAATGTAATCTGAAGAAGAAATTCCAGGTTTTGTTTGAGGGAGTTGCTAAAGCTGGAAATCCAACGCTCCTCAATGAGCTCTACACAGAGCTCTACATCACAGAGGGGGGAACTGGAAAAGTCAATGATGAACATGAAATCAGACAAATTGAAGCAGTATTTAAGAAAACAGACACAACAGAAACGACAATCAAATGTGAAGATATCTTTAAAACTTCATCTGAAAGAGATGGGCCAATCAGAACAGTGCTGACAAACGGAGTGGCTGGCATTGGGAAAACAGTCTTAACACAGAAATACACTCTTGACTGGGCTGAAGACAAAGCCAATCAGGACATTCAGTTTATATTTCCATTTACTTTCAGAGAGCTGAATGTGCTGAAAGAGAAAAAGTTCAGCTTGAAGAAACTTCTTCGTCACTTCTTTTCTGAAACAAAAGGAGAAACCTACAACTATGACAAGCCCCAAGTTGTGTTCATCTTTGACGGTCTGGATGAGTGCCGCCTTCCTCTGGACTTCGAAAAAAATAAAACCTTGACTAATGTCAGAAAGTCGACTTCACTGGATGTGCTGCTGACAAACCTCATCAGTGGTAAACTCCTTCCCTCCGCTCGCCTCTGGATAACCACACGACCTGCAGCAGCCAATCAGATCCCTCCTGAGTATGTGCACATGGTGACGGAGGTCAGGGGGTTTTCTGATCCACAGAAGGAGGAGTATTTCAGGAAGAGATTCAGAGATGAGCGACAGGCTAGCATTGTCCTCAGCAATATCCAGACATCGCGAAGCCTCCACATCATGTGCCACATCCCAGTCTTCTGTTGGATCACTGCTACAGTTCTGGAAGATGTGCTGAAAACCAGAGGGGGAGGACAGCTGCCCAAGACCCTGACTGAGATGTACATCCACTTCCTGGTGGTTCAGGCCAAAGTGAAGAAGGTCAAGTATGATGGAGGAGCTGAGACATATCAATACTGGAGGAAGATGACAGAGTCTCTGGGAAAACTGGCGTTTGATCAGCTGCAGAAAGGAAACCTGATCTTCTATGAATCAGACCTGACAGAGAGTGGCATCGATATCAGAGCAGCCTCAGTGTACTCAGGAGTGTTCACACAGATCTTTAAAGAGGAGAGAGGACTGTATCAGGAAAAGTTGTTCTGCTTCGTCCATCTGAGCGTTCAGGAGTTTCTGGCTGCTCTTCACGTCCATCTGACCTTCATCAACTCTGGAGTCAATCTGCTTTCTGATGCACAATCTAAATCCAAGTTGTCCGAACTGTTATTTAAGGACAACGCAGCTACAAAGTTTTACCAGACTGCTGTGGACAAAGCCTTGCAGAGCCCAAATGGACACCTAGATCTCTTCCTCCGTTTCCTCTTGGGTCTTTCACTGGAAACCAACCAGAGTCTCCTGCAAGGTTTGCCAAGGCAGCAAGACAGTTGCTCAAAACCTAAACAGAAAACAATCCAATACATCAAAAAGATGATAACAAAAGTCTCTTCACGGAGAAGCATCAATCTGTTTTACTGTCTGAATGAACTGAATGACAGTTCTCTAGTGGAGGAAATTCAAAAATCACTGAGATCAGGAAGACTCTCCACAAATGAACTATCACCTGCTCACTGGTCAGCACTGGTCTTCATCCTACTGTCATCTGAAGAAAATTTGGATGTGTTTGACCTAAAGAAATACTCTGCTTCAGAGGAGGCTCTTCTGAGGCTGCTGCCAGTGGTCAAAACCTCCAGCACAGCTCTGTAGGTTGATTTTTATAAATAACAATATATAGAAGCATGAAAGAAAAAAACACCATAAATTACTTCCATTTGTAATATTTGTAACTTTCTGTTTTTTCCCCCCAGACTAAGTGACTGTAAACTGACAGACAGAAGCTGCTTATTTCTGGCAAACGTTTTTAACTCCCCATTGTGTAATTTGGTTGAACTAGACCTTAGTAACAACAACCTCCAAGATTCAGGAGTGATCTCACTCTGTGCTGGACTGCAGAATCCAAACTGTCAACTGAAAACTCTCAGGTGTTTGTTTATTTTATTGTAAGGAAGACTTTTATTTCAATTTCAGTTTCTTAAATAAAACCAAATTTGTTTCTTTTAACATCTAGGTTGGACAAAAACAGCCTCACAAGCGCATGCTGTCAGGATCTCTCATCAGTCCTCAGCACCCAGTCCAGTCTGAGAACTCTGTCCCTGAATTATAACAAGCTGCAGAATTCAGCAGTGAAGCTGCTTTCTGATGGCTTGTCCAGTCCACAGTGTAAACTCCAAATTCTCGGGTTAGATAAATTTTACATTGCTCAGTGTGTGTGTGTGTGTGTGTGTGTGTGTGTGTGTGTACACATATATAGCTCTGTACGCCGTCTCGTCTTCCCCAAAGATGAGCCCCACCATGGTGGTATCATCTGCAAACTTAATCACTGCGTTGTTGCGTTGTCTGAGTGGGTACTGACACAGTCATGTGTGTACAGAGTGTACAGTAGGGGACTTAGTACACAGTCTTGTGGAGAGTTGCTGTTAAGGCTGGGGAAAGATGAGGCCCCACTCTAACTCTCTGTACACGGTCTGACAGGAAGTCTCTGATCCAGCAGCAGGTAGTTGAAGGAAGTTCAATATCCAGCAGTTTTATTATTGGTCTGTCCGGGAGTATTAATAATAATGGAGTGGATTTATATAGCGCTTTTCAAGGCACCCAAAGCGCTTTACAATGCCACTATTCATTCACACACTGGTGGAGGCAGCTACAGTTGTAGCCACAGCTGCCCTGGGGCAGACTGACAGAAGCGAGGCTGCCATATCGCGCCATCGGCCCCTCTGGCCAACACCAGTAGGCAAGTAGGGTAAAGTGTCTTGCCCACGGACACAACGACCAGGACAGAGAGCCCAGGGATCGAACCGGCGACCTTCCGGTTACAGAATTGTATTGTATTGAAAGCACAGCTAAAGTCAACAAGGAGCAGCCTGTTGTTCCAGGTGAGAGATGGTGGTGTGGAGCGTTGTAACAATGGCATCTTCAGTTGATCTGTTAGCTCTGTATGGAAACTGGAGCGGGTCAAGTGTGGGTGGCAGGCACAGGGTGGATCACACTGATGCAGTTTCTCCTGTACCGTGCCATTGGTGGCGGGAGTCTTTTAAATCACTGGCTAACGCAGGGGAGCATCAGTAGTGAGTCACGGATGGGAGTGGGCTTTCAAAGCTAGCAGGGACACCACTATGAATACAATACATAAACATTTTAGAACCGAGAAACAGCATGCCATGAAACCCAGCGCCATCTTTCCTGTGTTTCCTGAGTTCTTATTATGTCCTCCAGAAAGCCGTAGAAGTGGTGATAGTCCAACGTAATGTTCCTTGCACAGCGTAATCCCAAACTCAGAATATCACTTGTTGTTCCTAGAGTATTTAAAAGTAGAATGGGAGGCAGAGCCTTCAGTTTTCAGGCCCCTCTTCTGTGGAACCAGCTTCCAGTTTGGATTCAGGAGACAGACACTATCTCTACTTTCAAGATTAGGCTTCAAACTTTCCTTTTTGCTAAAGCATATAGTTAGGGCTGGACCAGGTGACCCTGAATCCTCCCTTAGTTATGCTGCAATAGACGTAGGCTGCCGGGGATTCCCATGATGCATTGAGTTTTTCTTCTTCACTCACTATGTGTTTATACACCTCTACATTTAATCATTAGTTATTTTCAGTCTCCGGCTCTCTTCCACAGCGTGTCTTTGTCCTATCTTCCTACCCACACCTCAGCCAATCACAGCAGATGGCCCCGCCCCTCCCTGAACCTTGTTGTACTGGAAGTTTCTTCCTGTTAAAAGGGAGTTTTTTCCTTTTCACAGATGCCAAAACGTTTGCACAGTGGGGGTCATATATAATTGGGTGGATGGGTTTTCTTGTTTGTTTGGGGTTTTTTTAGTATTATTGTAGGATCTTTGCCTTACAATATAAAGTGGCTTAAGGCAACTGTTGTTGTGATTTGATGCTATATAAATCAAACTAAATTGAGAATTGATGGTAAGTGTTGTAACTCGTCCACACAGGGATAAGAAGTTTATGAACTGTACAGCCTATGCTTTGGATGTGTAATGGATGTACTGTTGATGCAGTTTATGGAATACTAGGAGATTTTATAAGTTTTTTTTGACAAGCTTGAATGTTTTATGAAGTGATGAATATGAACAGCAAAATGCCGTCTGGATATAAACAGGTTTTGTGATCAGTGGTATATCTTAGAATTCCATTATTTTGTTTTGGGGTTAAACATCTGAATCAAAACAAAAGTGTTTCTTTTAACATCTAGGTTGGAAAGAAACTGCCTCACAAATGCATCCTGCCAGATACTCTCATCAGTCCTCAGCACCCAGTCCTCCAGTCTGAGAACTCTGTCCCTGAATTACAATCTGCTGCAGGATTCAGGGGTGAAGCTGCTTTCTGTTGGCTTGTCCAGTCCACAGTGTAAACTCCAGAATCTCAGGTATGATGTATTTTACATAGAGGGAGTTTCAGTGCTCATCAAGACTCTTGAATATGCTCTCTCTCTCTCAGACATTACATACAAAGAACATTACAGACAATGGTAATATTTAAATATTGAAGTGAGTGTGTATGTTATATAATGCCTGTAATTCTATTAAATCCAGCAGTGAGTATTTGTGAGAGAGCAAATAGTAAGTGCAAAGAAAAGGAACAAACAAAAAAATAAATAAAGGTAACATAAAATAACATGAAAAAAATGTAATTAAATTTATTTTTATAGTGTCAAATTACAACAATTGCGTCAAGGCACTTTATATTGTAGAGACAAGATACTACAATAATAAATTGAAAAACTCAACAATTTGGGTTAGTTTTAGCCTCCTAACCCTCTCAGCCTCTGAGTCACTATAAGAAGAAACGAAATTACAATCATCTGCAGTGGTTCTGTAGATCCCCGAGAGCTTGACAGAAAAGGCTGGTGTTAGTGCTCCACATAATATGAACCTAGAAAGCAGATGTGAGAATAGTATATGGTTCAGACTGTGACTACATTGTGATGAGATGGGAACACACCTTTTGCTTAACAAAAAAGCAAAAACTTTCATCAAAATTACATAATCTGAGTAAAAAATACTGAAGTAACTATGATTTATCACGGGCAGTGCCAACTGCAATGTCATCAGAGAGAAGCAGTAATAATGTCACTTTCAATTTATTGTTATTTTTATCAAAATATATTTTAAAAACATTATTTATAATATTATTTTGTACATCAATCTAATACAGCAAGAGAAGCGTGAGGGGCACTGGTGTTGATATTATTAATATTATTTGTGGTATGCCATTTTAAAAAGTGTAACATTACTTTAAAAACACATAGCTCTGTTAAAGTGACTCATTAAATGACTCGTTTTCTATTATAATTGAATACCATCTAATGTGCGTGGGGTTGTTATAGCAAGGCAGCTGAGCGTCCTGTGATGTAATTAGTATTTCACACGAACACCACAAGAAAGGTGGACATCGAGGCTGCAGGTGGATCCTCTCTCATGCCCTGGATTGTTGATTACCTGACAGGAAGACCACAGTATGTGCATCTTCAACATTTTGTGTATGACTAGAGGACCAGCAACACAGGGGCACCACAAGGGGCCGTCCTCGCCCCCTTCCTCTTCATTCTACACCACAGATTTCAGCCACTGCACAGAGACCTCCGTCTTCAGAGGTTTTCTGCCGACTCTGCGGTGGTTGGATGCATCAGTGACGGTGATGAGACAGAGTACCAGGCTGTGGTCGACTGTGTGTGAGCAGAATCATCTGCAGCTCAACGTGGCAAAGACCAAAGAATCAACTGTTGGCTGAAAACTGAGGTCATTGTGACCATTATGACCTCAGCCTCTTAGAAAACAACAGAAAATCATTTGCAAGAAATTTATGAGTGATCTTTGATAGCAATTTAATCTTTGATAAACAGATGAACAATGTAATCAAAACTAGCTTCTTTCATCTTCGCCTCCTTGCAAAAGTTAAGCCTTTTCTCTGCTTCAGAGATTTTGAGAAAGCGATCCATGCCTTCATCTCACCTCGACTTCTGTAGCCTCTATTCTGGTGTTACCTCGTCATCTACTGGCTGACTGCAGCTGGTCCAAAACACTGCAGCAGGGCTCCTAACTGGCACACGCAAGCGAGATCACATATCTCCCATACTTACATCATTACAATGGCTGCCAGTCAGTTTTCAAATTGATTTTAAGATTTTAACACTTGTTTTTAAGACGCTCCATGGACTAGCTCCTACATATCTTCCTGATCTCCTAACCTGGTATACTCCTGCAAGATCTTTGAGGTCTGCGGACCAAATTCTCCTAGTTGTCCCAAAGTCCAGATTAAAACTCTGAGGAGACCAGGCATTTGTGGTGACTGCTCCTAAATTGTGGAACACTTTGCCTCTGCACATCAGGACCTCCTGGAGACTTTCAAAACCCATCTAAAGACCTATTTTTATTGTCTTGCTTTTAAATCAGTATGAGTCTGTAACTATTGTTTTTATTATCATTCTATGATTCTATTCCCCTCTAACTTTATCCTATTTTATGTCTTTTGCTTTAACTATTTTTATTGTACCGCAATCTACAGGAAGTGCCAGAGTCGTCTCTGTTGTCTTTCAACATCTGAGTCGGTTTGTTTTAGCAATGTAAACATAGTTGTTATTCAGACCTAATTTTCCACCTAAAATCATCCCTGTACTCCAACAATACAGCCACAATCTTTCAATGAGCACAGTCCAATCAGTACTTGCCAAAAGAAAAGAGGCTATGAAGAAATACAGCATTATGTATTGGAGGTGCTGTAAGTGATCGGTCCTAGAAAACTAAGATTGCACTGCTTAATTGATCATTTCTTCATTTTTACACTTTCAGGTTGTCTTTCTGTTTTCTGTCATCGGGAAGTTGTGGTTTTCTGGCTTCAGTTTTCAGCAATCAGCCTTCCAGCCTGAGAGAACTGGATATGAGCCGCAATAGACTGTTGGATTCAGGAGTCAAGCAGCTCTGTGTTGGTCTACAGAGTCGATTCTGTAGACTGGAAACTCTCAGGTCAGAGTTCTAACTGTAATATTGCACGCTGATTTTTTTCTATCATCCCCACTTTCTTTTTGTGTGGCTTAATCAGTAATTAACACCCCCCCCCCCCCCCAGCCTGGGGTTCTGTGGGCTGACAGAGAAAAGCTGTGAATTTCTGGGTTCACTTCTCAGCTCCAAGGAGTGTCATCTGAAAGTGGTTAATTTAAGTGCCAATAAATTGCTGGATTCAGGAGTGATGAGGCTTTCAGCTGAACTACAAAGTCCTGATTGTCAAATAAAATCTCTCAGGCAAGGAATCCTTAAATCAGACAAATTAGCTGTGTTCCATGCACTGGCATACTTATCTTAAATGTTTAGTTGCTTAGGTCTTCACAACCTGATTAGCAGACAGCAAGCTGTCATTTCTTGATGACATTTACAAAAATGGATTTCACAGCAGTGGGGAATACGTTTCATTACAGTAGATGTCTTTCTGAAAACGCTATAAGTATTTATTTTTTTTAAACATTTATTTATTGGTTTTAACCGGTTTTACATGGTGCACTGTGAGCATTAAAAAAAATAAAGTAAAAAATAAATAAATACATAAATAAAAACAAAACCACAACAACAACAGAAACAACATAGTAATAGAAACAAAAACAAAGCAAACCATAACAGAAGGGAAGGGCAGATATACAAATCGAGTCAGAGTTTCAGGCTGTTAAGTCCACAGTGTGCACGCTGCAGTTCTCCAGAAAGTTGTAGAATTTTGACCATAAAGCCCAAAACTTGTCCAGTTTATTTCTTAATGCATAAGTTATTTTCTCCATAGATAGTATAGATGTCAGTCCATTAAGCCACTGAGTTAGTCATAGCAACACAGCGCTTGGCTTCCAAAAGTCCAGTCGTTAACAGAGCTCTGTTGTTTGCAGCAGGTACAAAATTATTTGGGTATATATTTAAAATACATATTTTAGGATGAAGTGGAATCACATCACCAATAATTTGACTCAACACATTTATTACCTTTTCCCAAAAGATTTTCACATGTGGACACTCCCATATACAGTGAAATAAAGTGCCCCTGTCCACTCCACACTTAATACAGGTGTCTGGGATGTTTGAGTTAAAATGATGCATTTTTGATGGAGTAAGATATTGTCTTGTTAAACATTTATATAGAAGTAGTCGAGATTGCACATTGTTAAGTTGAAATATTAATTGTCTGACTCTGGGCCAAGGAGCATGATTTATAGCACTCATCATCAGATATTTCCATTTGCAAATCCTTCCTCCAAGCCTCTAAAATAGACTGTGTTGATTCTTTGGAATTTTCTGTAAATAATTTATACAATGCAGAAACTCGGCCTCTCCCATTTAGATGCTTTATAACTGTGTTCTCTAGAGAGGAGGAGGTGGGATTTCTAAGCTGTCACCTTGTGTGGTTGAGATAAAATTTCTTAATTGAAGAAATTTAAAAAAATATTTGACAGGAATAGAAAAAGTACTTCTAAGTTGTTCAAAAGACATAAGAGTATTATTCCTAAACATATCAGACACTTTTCTTATACCTTGATCGAACCAAAATCTAAAACCTGCATCCGCCCTACCAGGAAGAAACCGAGACAGTTGGATCATTTCTCCGAAGTAGTTATGTGTTTCAAACCAGATCATTATAGTGTTTTTTAGAAAGGGGTTCTTAGTTTGCTTATTTAGTGTCTTCCTGTTGGCTGAGTAAAGATATAAGTTAGCGGAAATTTTGATTTCTGTAGACTCCATAGAAACCCACACTGGAATTTGCTCATTAACAAAATAAAACATTGCTGCTCTGATTTGAGCAGCCCAGAAGTACCACTTTAAATTTGGAAGTTGTAAACCCCCTCTTTCATAAGGAAGGTATAGTAATGAGACTCTGAGTCTTGGTCTTCTGTTGTTCCAAATAAAGTTTCGGAATAGTTTTTGCAAATCTAAGAAGAAAGAGTTTGGTGGTATTGATTGAAAAAGGTAAAGATATTTTGGCAAAATTGACATTTTTAGTATATTAATACGGCCAATTAAAGATATAGGTAGTTTCATCCATCTGTGTAGAAGTGCAGTAACTGACGTCGTTAAGGAATTATAATTGGATGCCAGAATATTTTCAATTGAGGGGGTTAATTTCACACCCAGATAAGTAAACCCATGTTCAGATAGCAGAAAGGGAGTATTGATTGGAGGATTTTGTCGTTTCATTTTTATTCAAAAATAATATTTCGGATTTATCAAAATTTATTTTGTAACCCGAAAATGTACTAAATGTATTAATGAGACTTAATATGGATGGTATTGATTTGTTTGAATTAGTGCAGAACAGGATCACATCATCTGCTATAAGTATTGTTATTGCCAATGTCATGTGCAAACAGTGCAGAGTAGCTACATAAATTCTACTCACACCGAAGTTGATTATTTGTTAATAGTTTTACATCCTTGCTACATATATTTATTACTTCTAGATTGAACTAATTCATTATTATCAGGATTTCCTAAAAACTCCCTGAAAAAGCCTTCAGCTGATCCAAAATGCTGCTTTCAGACTCCTGGCTTACACGGTTCCTACGGTATTTAAAAGTAGGCTTTGAGGTGCTGCAGTATTCCTGAACAATAAGAATCAGCTCTCAGACAATATTGGTGGTGGTCAGAGGGCCCGGTGGCGCCAGTGTCCGGCAGCCTCGCCTCTGTCAGTGCGCCCCAGGGTGGCTGTGGCTACATGTAGCTGCCATCACCAGTGTGTGAATGTGTGTGTGAATGGGTGGATGACTGAATGTAGTGTAAAGCGCTTTGGGGTCCTTAGGGACTAGAAAAGCGCTATACAAATGCAGACAATATTGCCACATAAGCAATGATGTAGGAGAAGACGTCAAAACTGCATATACAACTACTGTCTATAAACAGCATGTCTCTGAGCTTGCTTGCTCATAAGGGTCCATCTGACATACAATTTATTCTCTGCCTACTGTTTTTTGCTTTTGTAGTCTGTCAGCCTGCTGGATAGGTGAGAAAGGATGCATTTCTCTGGCTTCAGCCCTCACATCCAACCCCTTCAGCCTGAAGGAGCTGGACCTGAGCTACAATTGTCCTGGTGACTTGGGAGCAAAACTGCTTTCTGCTAAACTGAAGGATCCCCAATGCAGCCTTGAGACTCTCAGGTATAAAGAGCCTTTTTGTCATGCACAGATGTCTAAGCATCATGTTTGTGAACTAACCCATTATAATATAATGGGTGTATCAGTATAATCTCATTATTATACACCCATTATATTATATATCACCCATTAACCAGATCAAAGTTGATACTGATCATCTTCAGTGCAGAATTCAAGGTTGTGACATTCATGTGATTCTTACATGACTGAAAACAAGAACACTGTATTTTTTCAAATACAAAATATTTGTCGATGTGTCTCATTATGCTTTATTCATAAAAATGTGGCCCCTTTATGCATTTTCTCAGATTATGTTTACTTCATCCATCCATGATCGGCTTCATGAGTAGTTGTGGGAATAGCAGTCTTAGTGTCATGAATCGGCTGTGGCACGCAGGATGTAGGACCCAAAACACAGGACACTCAGACGGAGGAGTAAACTCAAAGAGGCTGCTTTTATTGCAGTAGCAGAAAAAACTCCATAAACAATAAACTTGCAAAAACTAAACTAAACTAGAAACTAATACTAAACACTAAGAAACCTAGGGACGAGGCGCACAAAGGGAAACCACACAGCATGAGGGGACGACGCGACACTGACACAGGGCTAAAATACACTGAGGGATAACGAGGGGATGGGACACAGGAGGAGAGCACAGCTGGGAGTAATCAAACACAACAAGATCAGAGGAAGCCAAACTAGAGACTAACAAAGTAAAACAGGAAACACAACACGTAGACGCGGATTTGACAAGGGGAGACTGGGTCTGTCTCTCAGTGGGACAAAACCACCAGGAGGCATCCTAACTGGAGTAGCAGCTCTTCCTCTTTTAAATGATGGATGAAAATAGCAGAAAGACAACTAAGACAGTCCCACAACATCCAGAATGTTACGGAACCTGAGACAAATCTCATTCACCCCACGGAGCAGACCACTGAGACTTATATGGGCGACCGTGACTCAGGCGGTTGGGAAGCGTATCTGTAACCGGAAGGTCGCCGGTTCGATCCCTGGGCTCTCTGTCCTGGTTGTTGTGTCCTTGGGCAAGACACTTTACCCTACTTGCCTACTGGTGTTGACCAGAGGGGCCGATGGTGTGATATGGCAGCCTCGCTTCTGTCAGTCTGCCCCAGGGCAGCTGTGGCTACAACTGTAGCTGCCTCCACCAGTGTGTGAATGTGAGAGTGGCATTGTAAAGCGCTTTGGGTGCCTTGAAAAGCGCTATATAAATCCAATCCATTATTATATGCCTCATTCTTACTTAATCCTTATAATTACATGTTGTATCAGGAAAAATGTAAAAAAACACTTTTCACTAACAAATCGAACTATGGAAAGCATAAGCTGCATGAGACATGCGTAAAATACATATAAAACTGACTATTAGATTGCTTTTTTTTAAAATTAATTTTCATTTTGGAAATAATAAATGTAATTATTATACAGCACGGTGGTTAGCACTGTTGCCGCACAGCAACAAGGTCCTGAGTTCAATTCCACCATCATCCCCGGGTCTTTCTGTGTGGAGTTTGCATGTTCCCATGTTTGTGTGGGTTCCTTACGGGTACTCTGGCTTCCTCCCACAGCCCAAAGACATGCAGCTTGTAGGGATAGGTTCATCGATTAGTCTAAATTTCCCATAGGTGAGAATACGGGAGTGAATGTGAGCGCGAATGATTTTTTACTCTTCGTTTCAGGCTGGACTACTCAGGAGCAGAGGGTGCGAAGAAGGGTAAGTAATTCATGAAGTCTTTTTTTTTTAACTGGGAAGCTCAATACTATGTTTAATTCCTGAACATGTGTCAATAACAGTGTGCGCTAGTTTGCATTAATGTAACCTACATGAACGTGTTATTAATGGCACCTGTGGTTAGTTAACTGAATCGTCAGCATCCTGCTGCACACAAAGGTTTTGATATTCATGTTCAAACACTGCTGTAGATTTCAATGTGCAAATAAAAGAGGCCTGAAAGTGTGTAGACTGAAGATTTTTCAAAGCAAAAAACAAAATAACTTCAAGTGTTTTATTCATAAAGCGAAACTTTCAAAGCGCTCTTTAATATTCAAACATGTGTATAACCCCAAAAGTTGATTCTGTTGATCTGGACGCAGTGTTTTCAGTGTTAGAAACGTTACATCATCATCAGCTGACTGCAGGTTTCAACCTTATGAACAACATTTGCATAATGACTGAAACTAGCACTGAATGAACTGTGAGGTCAGCTCTTTGACATTTCTCCAGATGAACATGATTTACTTACCCTGACGACTGAGCATGCATCAGGACAAATGTGTAAAACCTGTAAGAAACACTGCAGTGATGAAACATCTCAGTGTTGTATATTTTTCTTCCAACAGTTGCCTGCAGTCTCACACTGGACCCCGATACAGCTCACAGGAACCTTGCTCTCTCTGCAGACAGAAAGGCAGTACTTGGGTCAAAACGACCAATTTTACATTCACGGTGGGAATTATTTCCTAGCAGTCCAGAGGTTTATTATAAGTGGGAGCAGGTGCTATGTACACAGGGTCTCACTGGTTTACGTTACTGGGAGGTAGAGTGGAAGGGAACTGTTTCCATAGGTGTAACTTACAAAGCTGGACCTGACAAAGGTCCAGATGAATCCTGGCATGGAGGAAATGACAGATCCTGGATGCTGCTCTGCAAAGATAATCATTACTCAGCATGGCACGATTACAAAGTGACAGAAATACGACTTTCTCAGCACCCCGCTGGTTTTCAAAAAGTCGGAGTTTTTTTGAACTGGCCAGCTGGCATTCTGTCCTTCTTTGATATCTCCTCTGATACTCCGGTCCACCTCCACACCTTTTTCTGCAGGTTCACTGAGCCCGTCTACCCTGCACTGTGGTTCTGGTTTACACTTGAAATGTACAAGTGTTCAGCAGCTTTGTGTGACCTGCAGGGATAGCAGTCACCAAATGTAAACAACTACTTAAGTGCCACACAGAACAACCTTTGCACACACTGTGATCACCTGACCACATATTTTGAGACACGTCAGACTCTGATGCAGAAATATTTTATTATGTTTTTCTCTGAAAAAAGTGTTTTATCACCAAGTCTCTGACCCTAATGGTTAAGACTGGAATTTAGAGTAATTGGAAGCAGCCATAGTCAGTCTCTGCATGAATAATGATTCCATCATAAATACCTGCTCATTATTAAGTTAGCCCAGGGATTAAAGAGCTGTTCTGCTCATGTTCACTTCTAAAGTGTTTTTCTTGGACTCCAGCGTAGCTTTGTTCAGTTTATTTATCTTACATGAGGACTTATGTACTTGCCTTGTTTATGAATACTTCAGGACCTCATAGAGCACATTGTTATATTAATTAACATTACATAGTTATATTTGCAATGATACAATAATGTGTTCTGTTAGATATATTTCATGTATCTGCTGATCATTTGTAATCTTTTGTTCTGGTCATGATTAAATAAATGCTTTTTAACAGAAGAACTGTGTGTACCATATGCTCTGCAATTCCCACAACGCTGTGTATGCTGTGCAGGACTCAGTGACTGAAGCACATCTTTAGTCTTCATACTACATCCTGGGGCATACGTCACAAATCTGTGGTTCTGAATCTTTATCTGGATCATGTGACTCTTTCATCCAACTACAGTGGCTCTCTGTGGCTTTGACAAAAAACAAATTACTACTGTTACTTGTTACAAAGTCCTCCTGCCTCCCTGCAGTACCTCAGATCCTAATATGCCTACACTGCACGTAAGGAGGCGGTGCTTCCTCTGCTCCGCAGAGCAGAGGTTGTTGAAGTCATCAGAGCAGGTCCTCACCTACACAGCAGAGATTCAGAGAGTAAAATGGGACGTCCATGTTGTCAAACTTGAGCTTGGGGCTGTGTCCACAGATTGTCCACCCTGAATCAGAGATATAGGCTGTGTCTCAATTCAGGGGCTGCATCCTTTGAAGGCCGATTACGTCACAGCAACGAGACGAAGGCTGCTTCAAATGCGTCCTTCATTTCCCCGAATTTGAAGGATGGGTCGGTGTGTCCTTCATGGCCCAACCTATCCCAGAGTTCATACCCTTCATACTCTGTTACCCTGTTACCCACCAGCTTGATAGCTAGTCAGGAGGTTAAAGGTCACTAGAGCCAATGAGAACAGCGAACTCCCGGCACATCGTTTTCAGATCCCTGCGGTCTTTCACTACTGAGGTTAAACGTGATATATAAGTCACTTAGATATCTTAAAAATGTTATTGTTTGGCTTTTTTCAGTGTTTGATTTGTTCCTCAGTGAATCTGTTTGGCTGAGATTAAAGTTCTAGTTTTCACAGCTGAATAGACGTCAAACAGAAAACCGATTAAACAGAAGTGTGAGACGGTCGAGAGTTTACTCCAGTGTCCTGTTATAGTTTAGATAGCAAGGAGCAGACGGCCGAGTTTATTAAACTCCACAGAGACAGCGGTAACGCAGATCTGAAGGCCACACCGTCCAATTTCACAGCCGCTCACTTCCGGCCTACCCGACCTCCTGAGGACCCGGCCCATGTAGACCGAGAAGGCCGGGTCCAGGAAGGATGCGGCCTCTGAGTTGAGACAGCTATTGATTAAACAGAGATGGCGTCACAACCAGGTACTGGCCAAAACTTTTGGAAGCGTTTCATGTAAATATTTTCTTCCGAGCCTGCAGAGCAGACAAAAGTGGAACTTCAAGACTCCTGACATTCTTGGGGGCAAAGCAGTTATGATTGTAGATCCACGGCTTCCCCGTGCACTGTGGCTGGTGGGATGAATCACAGAAACTTTCCCAGGATCAGCTGGACTGGTCAGAACTTGGTGGAAGTAAGTGGGGGTGGATACACCCGCCTTCTTACCCTGCTTATTTATCTTCCTGCGTTACCAGACTAATGGAGGAAATTCACCCATGTAGACACTTTGTTACTGCAGTGTGAGAGTAGCCACGTTAATAGTGAAGCATGTAGTAGCCTGGCTTCACAGGCTATATTTCCATTTATACGTTCATTGTTGTTGTTGTTATTGTGTAGAGCTAATGTTTACCAGACGGTGTTATCTGTTGTAATTACTGTATTAATATACAAACCTGTGTTTGCTGACAGCTCCGTGTCATCATAGCGACATTATGTGAATATCTGTGTCCACTAGAGGGCGGCGTTGATCCACGAATGACAGATTTAATCCAGTTCAGCTGTGATTCTGTGTCTGTCATCTTGATATTATATTATTATAAACTTATTATATCATCTGCGCTTAATATTATATTGTGTTATTGACGTTAATACTTAGTGTGAAAGACGCTGAATCATGGGAGGAGATGTTTTTATTATTTCTTCTCACACCGGTTCACCAATGTCACGTTCATTACAAGGAAGAAAAAATGCTAAAACTAAATTGCCCTTAACCTTTTTATTGAAAAGGAAAAAGAAACTCAAATTCTAGGGCATTTCAGTCGGAGCATGTTCAGTTTCTAATTTTGCAAGTTTACATTAGAGACACGACCCTGTGGTTCTTGGGCCCAGAAACAAAAGTCATTGGTTGTTTTCAGGTTTGGAGCATGAAAAAAAAAAGGAAAAGTCAGTCTTTTTTTTATTTTCTCTTATCGTTTGATTTACTGTAAAAGTCTTTTTACTTGTTTCAACAAATAAGCTTTGGATCCCTTTCAGACTATACAGAATGCTGTGGTAAGACTTAACTTGTCTATGTGTGTGCTGTGGCCGGCAGGTTGAAGGATCCAAACGCAGCACTCGTGCACGAAGGAATAAACTCAAAACAGCAGCTTCATTGCTGGAGAAAACTCGAACCTGTAATACAAGAAAACAAAACTAGAAACTCAAAACATGAAGCTCAAACTAGAAAACAGAGAACCAGAACATCATCAGGAGCACAGAAGAAAAACAGCACTGTAAGGGGAAATCACAGCACTTAAATACACGAGGGACTAACAAGGAAATGGGAGACAGGAGGCAAACACAGCTGGGACTAATCTGACATAATGAGACGAAGGGGAAAACTCAAAACTCAATGCACTGAACACAGGACAAGAAACAGAAGACAGACAAGGAGACGTGACTGACTGGGGAGGAACACAGGGAAGACGCAGTGACAGAGAACTGAGACAAGCATACAACACATGGAGACAAATAAGGAGAACGAGAATACAGAAGGAAACCTTCAGTGGAGACACGACACCAGGAACTATAAATATAATACAAGCAGGAAGCAATCATTCAAATAAAATAACTTAAACCAAACACAGAAACAGTGGGTCACCAGACCTGTACGTGACATAACTATAGCACTAACAGGAAATCACATATTACTCCAGTTTTGGCTTCTGTTCGTTACATACTGTAGATCTTAAGTTAATCTCAGAGAGGATGGTTGGAGGACTTTGATGGACAGTGCACAGGCTTTAAACCATCTAAGCCACATGCAAGAGTGAGAGAAGAAGCACTGATCTGCATGTCTTAAAGTGGTCATTGCTTGTATGGAGCTCAGAGGAGTTACATAAAAAAATAATGCTGTTGGTAATTTTAAGATCAGACAACTGATCTTATTTGAGAACTTTAAACTGAAAGCTGGAAAGTGTAAGAGAAATAGTAACTATTAGACTAGAGGGAAGAAGCTCAAATGTAAGAATCTGGAGCCTCAGTAAACATGTAGGTGAAGGGAACAGAGGGGATTTAGATGTGTTGGGCAGGTGTGGTGTTAATGAGATAAATGCTGAAGAACAAATAGTGGCAAATTTTGCAAAAAGAAGAATAAGAATGGAAATGACTGTGGCGAACCCATAGTTCAAGAAAGGGCAGGAACGTAACGTAAAATAGAAGTGGAGGAAGGTGCACAGGTTGAATATATCTTATGATGGAGGTGCAAATAGGAGACGGTTCTTCAGGAAATGCAGAAGATTTGTAAGGAGGAAGTGAGGGCAGCTACAGCAGGGTCCAGTTGGTCCAGATGAACTACCTGCTGATGAACTTTTTAACCAGCTTGTTTAACACAATCCAGGAGAGTGAGAGGATACCGGAGGAACTGAGAAGTGCAATGGTACCGAGTTTCAAGAACAAAGGTGATGTGCAGTGCTGCAGTAAAACTGATGAGAGAACTGTTGGAACTAGGTTAACCCACGAGGTCTTTTAGGTCAAACTAACCTACTTCTTCAACCGTTCACGCAATCGCAAAATTCAAATGACTCCTGAAAGCCGCAACTGTGCGTTTCAGTGGGCACTGAGCTACCAGAACTTTTCCTGTAATTTTACACAGAAAAACATAATGTACTATTGAAATTACACTTCTTTATCTTATATTAAGATATCTCAGGGATTAAAGGTGTAGTAAAATTTCTTTATACTCAAAATTCACTTGGTGGACCCACTTAATATCAAAGTGTTCTATATGTAAGATGACTTTGAATGACTTTGACATTCCTGATTTATAGAGTTGAAGCAGAGTGTCTGTGTGGAACAGAAACACAGACTATAGATAACTAAAGTCAAAATCAACGTTCAACATAAGATGTGTGTGTTTGTGCGTACACGTCAGGGCTGTTGCTAGGAACTTGAAACATTGGGAAATTAGCCCAGCCCTGAAATCTTTTGGATTTTTGCTCAGTAACATCACCTTTTAAAAGTTATTTACTACATTTGATTTAAGTATTTAAGTAGAAGATTTTAAGTATTAAAATCACATTGCTGATGAAGCAGTCATGTGAGATTTTATGTTGACATTGTTTAGGTTTTTTTTGCAGCTCTGGTCTCATAGATTCTGCTTCTGTTGTGCAATTATGACTCCTTTTAAAATGCATTACCTCTGTCTGGTGTTTTGGATGCTCACGTGTTCTTCACTTTTCCTGCTCTTTTAGTGTCCAATTAATCTACTGTACCTTCCATCTCATTTCCTCTCTCTGCTTCTTCCCTCTCCTGTCCTGGTTGTAAAAAGAATACAGTTCTAATCAAAGAATCCAAATATGTATTTTTTGATGTAAAGATTAGACATTTAACACATTATTTAGCCATTTATTTTAAACACTGGGTCAACTAAATTTGCATTTGAACACATTAACAAATATAAGATTGCATTATGATTGTCAGTTGATCAGACAGAGACAGTAGTGTTTCAGGTGTTACTTCACCTAGTGAAAAACTGATGCCTGAATACGGTTGCCCTTTACTAAACAATTCTTTTACCACTTCTGGGTCTATTCAAAACACAGAGCTAAAGACATGCCTGCACATCACTTTAGTTCCACTCTGCTGCCATCAGAGGGCAGCTTAGACTTGTAGTGATGTAGCCATGTCTGCAGCTTGTTACCACTGGAGGTTAATTAGAACAGATCACATCATTTATAAAACTAGGCTGTAAAGAAATATAATTTTCTCAAAGGACTAGAAAAGAAAACAATATGTGTGCACTATTGTTAAGCTTCTTCTTGTATTTAAAACAATCTTATTCCTATAAAGCCAAAATTACCA